TAAATGGAAAAATATCCTCAGGTGAGGATTTAAAAAAAAAAATGGAGACTTTTCAGTGAACAAAACTGTCACCAGATCTGTATTGGAAGGAAAATGTTAAAAGTATTTCTAAATAGACTAAATACTCTACTATACTAACGAAAAACTCCACAGGTGGTTCTAGGAAGACAATGGCCCTTGACAAATGTATGAAAATGCAGGAAGCAGGACGAATAATGAAAGTAATGAGGACCCATGAAAAGTAAACACACGGACGAGCCTACCTGAATACTGACTCCGTCAAACAATCACGTCTGCTGCGGTTTAAGCCACGGAGAGAAATGAAATCCGTAACGATAGCCCAGCAGGCAGAAAGGGGAGAGCTCGCTCTCTGAACTGTCCAGAAAGTGCTGCAAGGACTCACTTGGAATAGGCTTGAGTAAGTCGAGGCTGCATGCTGTAGTCTACGGTAACCACAAAAAGAAAAGAACAGACCTCATAGGCTACCAGAGTAATAGAGGAGAAATTTAAAAAAAAAAAAAAACTAAAGGAAGAACCCTTAATGCAAAAGAAAGGACAGAAAAAAGAACACAGAAAAAGAATCAATAGAAAGTAAATAGTAAAATGGTATATATAAGCCCAAATCTATCTAATGAATCAGTAAGTATATTAGACATAGCGTAGTAAATACTCCAGTTAAAAAAAGGACTGATTTTTTAAAAATCCCATGTACCCACAAGAGGGGCATCTTACACAAGAACACAAATAAGGTGAAAGTAAAAGGATGGACAGAGTTATACTCTGTGATGACTATTTGAAAGAAAGCTAATGTGTCAAAGTAAAAATTTTTTTTAATCCTCACCTGAGGACATTTCTCTACTTCTCTTTTAGATAGAGTAGGAGGGAGGGAGAGAGGGAAAGAGAGAGAAAGAGAAACATCGATGTGAGAGAGACATATCAACCAGTTGCCCCCCTGGTGACCCCGACCAGGGCCAGGGACAAACCGCAACCAAGGCACGTGCCCTTGGCCGGAATCAAACCCAGTTCTCACTGGTCTACAGGCCAACGCTCCAACCACTGAGCCACACTGGGCAGGGCACAAAGTAAATTTTAAGGCAAAAATCTAATATGAACAAAGAGAGATATTTCATAAAGATAAAAGGGTCAACCTATCAGGAAACTTCAACAATTCTAAATTTATCTGTAGGTAAAAACAGAGCAAAACTTGTCAGAAGTGAGTTAAAATATATGCTCACACAAAAACTTGTACACAATTATTCACAGCAGCATTATTCACAATAGCCAAAAAGTAGAAACAACCCAAACCTGATGAATGGATAAGCAAAATGTGGTATAACCATACAATGGAATACTACTCAGCCACTAAAAAGGAATAAAGTACTAATACATACTACAACACGGATGAATCGTTAGAACATTATATGAAAAAAGCCAGACACAGAAAACTACATACTGTATAGTTCCATTCATATGAAATGTCCAGAAGAGGGAAATCTATATAGAGAGAAAACAGATCAGTGTTGTCAGGGGCTGGGGAGAGGAGGAATGGGGAATGACTGCTAATGGGCAGGGTACTCTGGAGGGTGAGGGCAGGTGACGAAAATGTTCTAGAATTCAATACTGGCAATGGCTTTGCAGTCCTATGAATATACTAAACACTACTGAATTGTATACCTTAAAATGGTGAATGTCAATTACACCTATTTTTAAAACTATGTAATTAAAAGGACAACTGGTCAGAAGTAAAAGGAGAAACAAAATCCCATACTCGGAGTTGGCGGTTTTCCTAGCTTGGTCACTGGTAGAACAAGCGAACTCAAATCAGTAAGGATAGGTTTGCACAGCGCAGGAAGCTGCGCGCACTGACAGACACGGGCAGACGACAGCACGCAGCAGCTGCGGGAGAAGAGCCTTTATCGATAGAGCCCTCACTACGGCCTTGTGCTTTACACGCATTACCTCGATTAACCCACCTATTATCACACACCCTTTAATGGAGGAGGAAATGGAGGTATAAGAGGATCAGAGAGGGTAAGCATCTGACCCAAAGTCACCAGCTTACTCTTAATCTCCCTGCAATACTGTCTCCCAGTATTGAATTTAAGAAAGATTTGACTAGAATCTTAATCCACATGATGCTAGAGTAACAGAGGTCTGATGCAGACTGAACAAACATAAGCTGTTAATAACCTATTACATCAACAAAAATACACATAGGGCGCTCACCTATGGTATACAAAACAGAGAGAGCCCTGGCCGGTTTGGCTCCATGGTTAGAGCGTCAGCTCGCGGACCAGAGAGTCCCGGGTTCGGTTCCCACTAAGGCACGTACCTTGTTTGCAGTTTGTCCCTGGCTCCGGTTGGGGTCATGTGGGTGGCAGCCAGTCAATGTGTCTCTCTCACATCGATGTTTCTCTCCCTCTTCCTCCCTCTCTCCCTCACACTCTGTCTAAAGATAAATGCAGAAGTGTCCTCAGGTAAGGATAAAAAAAAAAGAGTAAAAGACTAAAAAAAATTGCAATAATTTATTGGGCTCTTACTGAAGCTTGCAACTCGAAGCAGCAAGCACTTTACATTTTTGTTGTTGTTTTTATGGATTTGAGAGAGAGAGAAAAGGAGAGAGAGAGAAAGAGAGAGAGAGAAACATCCATCAGCTGCCTCCTGCACGTACCGGGGACTAAGCCCAAAACCTGGGCATGTGTCCTGACTGGGAATCAAACCAGCGTCCTTGTGGCTCACGGGAGGACACTCAACCGAGCCACACAGGCCGGCACTTCACATTTTTTATATCATTTGATCTTCACCAGAATCTGCCAGGTGGGTACTCTTATTCCCACTCTCCGCAAGTGGAGCGGGACCGGAGGGTGGGGAGGACGCTGTCCCTAGGAGGCAGGCCTCGGGCTGGAGCCAGTGAGCCTCTAGGACCGGAGCACCCACTTCAGACCCCGCGGTCTCCACCTCGGCCACGGCTGTCAGGAGCAGGGCCTTCGAGTGCGGGGTGCGGGCCCACTGTGGAATCTGATCTTTACGAGACAGAAGACGGGATTTCCAAATGAGAAAGCCGAGGCTTGGACCTCCTGGGCACAGCCGAGTGCCCCGCCCAGCGGGTGAGGCTGTCAAAAACCGAAGAGAAGACAGGCAGGAGAGAACGCACAAGGGCCCTTTAAGCCCTGAAACAGGGAAACTGTTTTGTCATTCACCACCACATTTTAATTCCGTTATTATACTTACCAGGATTTTATGGTTGGGTGAGAACTATGGGCTTCTACTGATCATGTTCACAGCGCACATTTGCTCAGCGGCAGGTGACAATCACCTTCGTGAATAATTCTCACTAAGCAGAGCTGCCCTGATCGTGGGCTAAAGAGAAAAGCCTAAGACGGCCATTTCCGAGGGCCGGTCCACACGCGACTTCTCCTCTCTGACCCAGGGAAAGCGATCGTCAGACTCACCTTTTCCATGGCAAGTCACCCGCATTCCTGCATTTCATGTTCACAGGTCCACTGATAAAGGAGTGAACTGACACTCAGGGGGGGTGAGTGACCTAGCCAAGGTCATGCTGCTAGGAGGCAGCAATGTGAGAATCCAGGTCTCCTGCCAGCGAGGCCAGTGTTCCGTCCACAGGTGCATCAGGTCGGGGACACCTCAGCCATGTGGGGCTGCAGGTCCTTTCCACATGTACATAAAGGCATAAGAGACAGACAGGCCAAGGGCTATAATGGAGCAGGAAAAAACTGGAAATTCCCAAAACTTTAGAAGGACCATTAAAATAATCCAATCCACCCTTTATATAGATGGTAAACTGAGGACCAGCCAAAAGTTACACAGCTAGAAGTGGCAGTTCAGGACCAGAACCCAGGTCTGTGTCAGCCTCATCATTCAACTGAGTTTAGAGAGCAATTTGCAAAAGCGACTAAGAAGATGACAAAGCAATTACTCCTTAGCAGGACCAGGCTATGCACAAAAGATAAGGTGTAGTCTTTTTCCTGGAGAAGCTTAGTCTAGCTAGAAAAATATGTATGTGCCCAGGAAAACATAATCAATAAAATAAAATATCAGTAAAGGCAGCAGCTACATCAAGAATTTAAAAGGAGGCAGACAGTAGCAGAACTGGCTGTGTTGGAAAGCTTCCTAAAGCTGGGATAAGTAAAGCTGGGTTTTGAAGCATGCATAGGAGCCCAAGAGATGTTATACAGTAGGTATGTCAGTCCAGTAAAAGGCTTCAACTTATAAAACGTTTTATTTTGTGGGAGATGAGGTGAAAGTGCAGATGAAGACCAGATCTTGGAGACTAGGCAGCCTTTCGACGCCAGGCTGCAGCTTTTGGAATAATGGGTCCCCAAACGTATTCAGGAGCGGGGACCTGGAAGCCTCTGAGCTCCTAACGGAACCCGCGTGACGGGTGGTGCTTCATTCCAGGGCAGTGACAGGGTCAGGAAACAGGTCACTCTACACCTGTAGTATAAACCACAACCACAAGCACACACTCCTTTGCACAAATAACCAGACAAAAGGGGTCTTCTCCACACAGCCCGTCACACTGTGTGCTGCTGTTTCTTTCCTGTGCCCTGGAGGCCGGTGCACTGGCAGACGACGAGCACAGGTACTGTCTTTCCTTCAACACAGGAGAAGAGAACTTAAAAAAGGGGAGCATTCTGAGAATTTACTTTTTGTCGGACTGGGAAGAGGCATCTTGTCATTTTCAAGGCCCAAGGCAATGCCACCAGCGCAGCATCCTCCCAGGGCCTCCGGTCCCCATCTGACATGAGGGGCTGGTGATGGGAGCATCGTCGGGAACCACACTTTGGACACGTTTGGCCCAGTCGGGTCACTTTCACATTTGCTGGGCTGTGCAGACAGTGAGCAGGATGGCAGAGCGGCCTTCGTCCAGGCCCACAGTCAGAGCGGCTCGGCAACCTCGCTCCTGAGAAGGCCTGGGGTCATCCGGGATGTCGAGGCATTTTCGTGCAGGGTCCTGCAGTAAGCACGACACCCTTCAGAGTGCCCCCAGATGCTTCTCTCCCACGGCTCGCCACTGGCTGCCTCGAGCTCCTGAGGCCCCCTGACTTCCCACCTTCCGTCTTGGAGGAGGGTGAGTGCCTTCATCCCTGGGTCACCTGGCCAGGAACGGGCAGCATCCTGTGCCCAGGATGTGGACTTCTATGAGTTGGCAGGGACATGGAACCTTCGGAGAGTCTGTGTGCCGTGTCCCCACTGCCTGGGGGAGCTGGGAGGTCACCAGGAGCCGGATGTAGTAGCCGCCGAACACTGCCAGCAGCTGCTGGGCCATTTCCTGGAAGAGGCGGGGAAGCAGAGTGAGGGCCATGGACACGCAGCTAACGTGCCCTGGGAGGCCACGCGGTCCTCGCACCCCTGGGCCAGCTGTGACGCTCACTGGCAAGAGCCTGGTCGGGCCCTCATCGGGGGCTCCTGGAAGGTGCCTGGTCTGGTCTGGAACCCTAACTCTGCAACTGCTGCTGTGGGGCTCCTGCAGCTTCCGTTTCCTCGTCTCCAGGGCGGTAACCTGACTGCTGATAGTCGATTATAAACTGCACAAAAAAACTAGGGGGCCTCAAAGTGCTGGAGAACTTAGCATTGATGGATCCCAGCCAATCACAGGGACACACAGTTTCCAGTTCCCACGGTCTATGAGCCGGTAAAACATGAGGTCGAGAAAACACACTTGAAGAAAAGCACTAGTGAATGGGGGCGGCTGGGGAAAGAATCCCCCTTGGCTTTGGCCCCGGCTTTGCCACATTCTCCCTTGGCTGTGACCTTGGCCATGTCCACTGGCTTCTTAGAAGCTATTTCATCCATCAGAGAAGAGAAACAAGCATCCATACCTCAGAAGGTATGCTAAAGAATGGTATGCATGATAAAACAAAAAGCTGTGAAAATGTAAGAGGTCATTTTAACCGTGTCTCCATCTTTCACAGGCACAGGTTTCCTACTAAAACAGAAGACTCTGACTCACGCTGAGACCTGGGCATTGATTATTATTTTTTCTTGCTAAGTTATAAGGTCAGCTACTTTAAAAACATGTGCACACCCACTGAGATTTGATATTCATGGCAGGAAATTGCATTACTATTGATTTGAATGAATTTTTAAAAATAATTTAAAAGACCCATCATATTTAATAGGCTATTTCGCATAAACCCAGACAGGCATGTCACAATGAAGTATGTGACCTCATCAATCTTTTGTGCTCTTTCAAAAAAAGTCCATGGATTCAAGTAAAGAGATGAATAGATTCATCATTTTCTCTTGCAATAGTTCTATTTGCAGGGCCCCCACTTCCCACCACTATAAAAGGAAAAGTCTGGGCTGGCTTGGACCTTTAATCCCCAAATCTGCCCGGCCGGTGTGGCTCAGAGGTTGAGCATCAGCCTGTGCACCAGGAGGTCCCTGGTTTGATTCCTGGTCAGGGCACATGACTGGGTTGCAGGCTCCATCCCCAGTAGGGGGCATGCAAGGGGCAGCCGATCCCTCATCATGGATGTTTCTCTCTCTCCCTCTCCCTTCCTCTCTGAAATCAATAAAAGAAAACATATATTTTTTTTTAAATCCTCAAATCTGCTCGCTTAAAAGAAAGTGTAGGCGCTCTCCTGCACCACACCCTGCCTGAGGTCACCCGCGCTGCACGTCTGCGAGACAGTGGCTCTGTCTGTCCTCACAGTGAGACGAGGGTACAGCTCAAGCTGGGAACATGCTATCAGATTTCTGGTCTACCAGCACTTGGTCAAACCCAGCAGACAGCTCAGCAGGACCAACAGAACTCGGGGGCTGGAGGAACTGGAATTCAACAGAGATGAATATAAGATTTAAATACCTAACTGCAATCCAAGTAGATAGACTGATAAAAAGACTTTAAAATAACCCAAATACTCATCAAAATGTTCACGGTTAGGTAGGCAATCTATGATCCATCCACACACACAACTACACGTCCAGTGGAACTACCAAGAATAGCCAAGATATTTTAAAAAGGGGAACAAAAACCAGTGAGTAGCAAATGACTGCTATAAACTATTTTCTAAAGTGCTGGCGTGAGGAACAAAATATTAAAGACTAGCAGGCTACATCTGTATAGTCTCTACCAATGCAGTAAAGCCACGTTCCCCGGCACTTACAACTTGAGGTCCCCACTTGGACTCTATGCAAATACCCCACGAGAGAAGGCAGCCCTGGCCCGCCCGGTGCCCGTTACCTCCGGCTCAGCCTCAGGAACAAGCTGGTGAAACTCGGTCTGCATGAGAGGCCTCTCTGCAGGATGCGGGCTGCTGGGCAGGAGAGGAGCTTCCTCCAGCAGGTTCTCAGGCCCCTCCGCCGTCGTCGTGGGGCTCACCCCGGTCTCCATGGCAACACAGAGCTGGCTCAGCCTGCTTCTCAGCACGGACTGCGAAGGAAACGGGGAGCTCGGGTGGTGTCCTAAGTTGGGTGGCATGTGGGAGGCCAAGGCGCTGCCTGAGGTGCGACCCCAGAGAATGGGTATTCTACAGACTCGGACGCCGACCTTGGCGAAGGTGGGACTGAGCCACGCTGGAGAGATCCGGTCACTCCCCACAAAGCATGGTCCTTGATAGCTTCTAAGCACTTTTCCTCCCACGCTCTCGTCTGCTCCTCCAAGCAGCCTGGGACAGGGATATCGTTATCTGTGTGTTGCAGAAGAGCAGACTGAGCTCAAAGGCCTTGCCCGAAGCCATGCAGAAGCCAATAGGCCAGGATCAGGGCGCAACCACATCCCTGAGTTCAAGACGGACTCCGGAGCCCAGGAAAAGGCTGATTCCAGAGGAGGGGCCGGAGGCTTGGAGACAGGGAGGCTGGGCCCCAACCCAGCGTCACCAACCGGCTCCGTGACCGCCGAAGCGTGGCGGCAGGGCTTCTCAGAGCCTCAGTTTCCTCATCTGTGGAATTGGAGCAAGACTTCCCTGATCTTCCTCACAAATGGTAGGCCGTCCAAATACGTGGTACTTTCCTCTACCAGGATCTTTATTATTATTACTATTAATTATTATTACATCATAAGCAAACATATGCTCACTGGAGGAAAGGTGGAAAATGCCAGCAGTTAAAGGGATTAGCACGGTCACTTAAACAGACTTCATTCCCCAAGCGAAACCGCCACTGATCTGACACAGGTGCTCTTCCCGCTGAGTAACTTGTCCTCAGACAGTTCCCAGCACGGAGCCCATGCAGTCGGAGCCAATGCAATCGCGACCATTTGGTCTCCTGGTTGATTTTGTTTTGCATGTAAGGCATCTTACCTCCTGGCTAGTCTTCATTTCTCGAACGTGTTCAGACAAAAACTGCGCACAGTTCTCCAGGTCAAAGTAGACAAACCAGAGCTGGGGAGAGAAGCAGCTATGACCCCTGAGGCTCAGAGCCAGCCCGACCTGAAATCCCGTCCCTGAGATGGCCTTCCATCTCCTGCCTCCTTCCTGGTGGGAACACGCCCTTCTGCTCTCTCCCAGAGGCCCCCCGCATGAGGAGGTCATTGTATCGTTGCCCGAAGCCGACTGAGTGCAAATCTGCTCATGTGGCTGCAGCCCCCTCCCCCACTGGTCACTAAGCACCTGACAGACTCCAGACCAGCCCAGACATCATGTATCCTTCCAGGGCTACTGCGCTCCTCTTCAGGGGCCCTCTGCCTGGAGCCCAACATGCAAATGAGCTGTCACCCCCCACTGCCCATGGCCAAGTCAGATGTAATCAACTTGGGTGCTCTAAGGGAGGGAAGCAGAGGAAGAAGTCCTCACCCCACCATGATCTCCCCTTCCCCCCAACCTCAACAGTCCCCACAAAGCCAGACTGAACTTAGCCAGACTGAAATGCTCCATGTTCACACATTACATCATCTTGTCAGGTCCACATGGGCCACACACCACCCAAGTTCTGCCAAAAACCGGAAGCCCCTGTCTCACACCACCAACTCGGTGCAGCTCCTCCGGACCCCAGACCTCCCTCCTCCCCGTGACTGCCCCATGCGGTCCACGGTCACATCCCCCTGGCCAGCTAATCTCCCATCGTCTCCTCCCCAAGGGAACATTTTTTAAATTAATTTCTTTTTTACTTTTTATTGTGAAATTTTCCAAACATGTTCAAAAGTACAGCTATCCATCATCTTGGTTCAACGGTGATCACTTCGTGGGTTCTCGTTTTGTCTCCACCCCACCCACTACTCACCCCAGACACCTCCATCCTCCACCCCACCCCTCCCGATGTCTTTTAAGAAAATCCAAGATACTGTGTCACCTCATCCCGAGATACTACTTTAAAACTGGGAGAACCCAATTATTTTAAAAGATGTGTCCATTCAGGAGTCATCCACCCATCTACACCTTCAACGAACACCCGCTAGGTCACCCTGTGTGCCAATCCATGAAGAAGACTCAGAGAAAATGAGGCTGAAAGGACCCCAGATTCAAGGAACTCTCTGTCCCGTGTCGCACCCGACCTGCCAGGCATCTTGGGATGCCATCGAGTTCACCCCTGCTGTCGGTCGAGGCGCCCCCACACTCCACAGCACGTCCAGGCGCCAGGCTCCCTAAGCACGGGGACCTGCGGGTGCCTCTCTGCTGCAGCCCCGCAGCCAGAGCCGTGCCTGCCACCTCTGGGCTCTCATGAGTGTCTGGAGGATGGACAGGTGATGTGCACAAGGACTTCTTCCCAGGTCCCAGCCACCTGCCCTGCGCTCCCGCCGGGCGAGAGGGCAGATGTGGAGCTGAGATCCAGCGATCCCACCTGGGGAGCCCCGCCGGGACCAGGAGACCTGGGGCTCCTCCAGCCCAGCGGTGCCCCAGACCCACTGTGACAGCTCATATTAGTCACTTAAGACCTCCCCACTGCCCTTAGGGCGAAGAAAACAATTGGGCCAGGTGGATAATGCCTTTGGGATCTGACCTGCCGGTCCCCATGGAAGACCCCACAGTGCTTGGCACCGAGGAGGCTCCATCTGTTTCCCGAATGTGTGCAGAGTTAGGAGTGAGGCTTGGAGAGTCTCTGCACTTCCCCTCCGGCCCTGCCCCACGGAGGGTCCAGGATGCTGGTTACCACCCAGAGAAGGGAGGAGGAGAGCTGCCTACACCATCTCAGCAGACTCTGGGAGACACTGTGCAGACTGGGAGAACATGGGGCCACCACTCCCATCAGCCCAGCCCCAGAGTGACACGGTTCTCTGAGACATGGTACTCGGAGACACGGTACTGAGACACGGTACTGAGACACGGTACTGAGACACGGTACTGAGACACGGTACTCAGAGACACGGTACTTGGAGACACGGTACCTGAATCACACTCTGGCAGCCTTCCACCGTGTCCGTCACCCCGAGCAGCACCCGGTGTCGCAGGAGGGCTCTGTTGGCAGCTGCCAGCCGTAGGTCCGTGTTGGTGTTGGCCTGTGAAACAAACATGAGCCCTGTGAACAGACCTCCATGCTCAGGGAGTTCTTGGGCCCCGGAAATGACCACATACCGTCCCACTGCTGGACACCACGGGACAATCCTTGTCTTCAGGACACATCATTTCCTCCTCTACAAAGTGGGACCACGGAGTTGTGGAAACAATGAATCAGGAGCGTCAGCCCTGAGTCGAAGCCCAGCTCTGCCACTTCCCGCTGTGGGACCCTTCCCTGAGCCTTGCTCTCCTCAGTCGGAGTAAGGATAAAGAGTGTCGCTGCCTCCTAGGGATGTGGTGAGATCTAACTGAGTGTGTGTGAAGCACTTAGGCCGGTGCCTAGAACTTAGTCATTTTCAGGCATCTTCAGGAAGAGTGGATGGAGGGGGATGGGGAAGATGGGAGGTGGAGGGGGATGGGGGGTAGAGGGTATATGGAGGGGAGTTGGGGAGATGGAGGAGGGATGGGGGATGGAGGGGGATGGAGGGGGTGGGGGGATGGAGGGAAGATGGAGGGGGTTGGAGGGGAGATGGAGGGGGAGTTGGGCATTTACTGTATAAGTAAAGCACCTACTCTCTGTGTAAGACAGCTCTTCTCTGAAGTGTCTAGCACAGTGCCTGGCCCTCAACAAGGCAGGAAGGAGGGGCTGGTGGCTCTGTCTCCTTCTTTTCCCACCCAAACCAATGACATCAGGGGAGGAGGGAGAAGAAGGGTGTCAGGGCCCCAAGTGCAGTGAGGGGAAGAGACGCCCCCCACCAAGGGCCTTCAGATGCATTTAGAAAGCAGCCCAATCAAGGGCAATGGTTCCCAAAGATCAGGACCCTGAAGGGAGCTCTCGGAAGCGTGAGACCTTCCCCTCCATCGTCACAGGGATGGGCACAGCTGGCACCCAGGCCCGAGGACCAGGGATGCTAAAAGTGTGCCCTCCGCCGAAGGCCAAGTCCGTGGGACCAGTCCCACACACGGAAGAACTGTCTCCGTGTGGGAATGCAGGTCAGGACTCTACTTCTAATTCTCCGACTGGCCAACCGATTTCCATTTTACATACAACCTAAAGCGGGTTTGTTTTCAAACAGGTTTAAAATACAGTGAATTTTCCAGGAATGCCACCACTATGAAAATCAAGAGATGATTATCTCGTATTTTGCCTAGAACATCTGCAAGGGCTGTTCACCCTTCAGAAAACTGCATCACCAAGAGTTCAAATCCTGACCCCACCTCTCACTACCTATATATTGTGGGGCAAATTACTCACTAACTCTCCGCCTCCATCTCCTCATCTCCAGTGAGATACTAACATCCTCTTATAATAAGGATTATAATAAGGATGAAATGAGTTCATACACATAGAATACTTGGAAGAATAAACAGACACCCGATGCATGTCAGGTAACAATATCAGCAGGATGGCGATATCGAATTAACAGCACAGTGTTTTTCACTGTATCATATTGACTGCAGATATTTTTAGGAACTTCCCACATGCCCTATCAATGCGCTGTACTCTGTAGGGGACACAAGGCAGGGTGTGCAAAGTGCCGAGGCTCTCAAGGATGCTACGTGCTGCAGGCAGGCCACTAACAGAGTGACAGGGGTCAGGAAGTCCTGAGTGACAAGGGATCCAAGGAGGAAGAAGTCCTTGAGCTGAGACAAGACCTGAGGAGGCTGTGTAACCACGGACTGGTTACTTCTCTAAGTGTTTGCCCCCACTGGCCAAGAGTCAGTAATTATAATAGTTAACACTTATTCTGCATTTATTTTATACCAGGTACGATTATAAGCACTTGGCATGCATTAACTCATTTAATTCTCCAAACAATCTGAGGGGTGGAGGGTGCTACAGTTATTATCCCATTTTACAGATGAGGAAGCTGAGGCCCTGAGAGGTAATAACTTACCCCAGGCTGCAGAGCTAACAAACGGCAGAGGTATCCTGCCTCCTTGCAAAGCTGTTGGGCACAGATACCAGGTCCCGAAGACAGAGTACATAGTAAGTGCTCATTAAATGGCAGCCACTACTAGGAAGGGAAGGATCCTGGAGGGGCTCCCTGAATGAGCAAACAGGGATGAGGGGGGTGCCGCTGCGTACCTGGGGTCCCACGCTGCACCTCTGGGTAAAGACACAAGGTCTTGTTCACCTCCGTGCCTGTGCCGGGCACAGTACCTGGTACTTGCCAGGGCTTCATAAATACCAGCTGACCAAGGCAGGCAGGGGGAAGGAGCCACGCCGGCTCCCTGACGGCACTGATTCCATCCGCATCCTGAGGCACGGGCCGGGTGCCACAGGTTTTGCTATTGGAGCGGAATGTCCTTTGCTTCTCCCCTCCCCGAGAGGAGTCTCTCGCTGCCGAAACAGCCAGCTCAGGTTATTTCCACAGGCCAGCACAAGGGCCAGGAAAGCTTCAACAGAGCCCAAGCGGCATTACTGTCAGCCGGTCGTCACGAAGCCACACACAGAGCCTTTGGGAACGATGAAACCATAAAGTTCCTAGTTGTCCTTGTTCCACTACATGGAACTCACACCTCAAACCCCGGCCACATGTCCCAACACCCCCCGCCCCCGACAGAGTCAGGCGAGAGCGGAGTGTTTGATCTCAAAGTCCGGCTCTGTGCCAGGTGCTGGGGGAGCTTCCTACGCACTGAAAAGATGGCAGAGGTGCGGCAGGCAGAATGCAACCCCCCAAGATGCCGAAGTCCTGCTCCCCAGGACCTGTGAATGTTACATTACGTGGGGAGGAGGAAGAAAGGCTGTAGATGGGATTAACACTGTTAATTAGTTGGCCTTAGGACAGGGAGGTGGTCCCCGCTTATCCAGCGTAATCACAAGGGAGCGACCCGGGAACCCGGGGGCTCCAGGAGAGGCGAGGAAACAGTCTCCCCTGGAGGCTCCAGAGAGGATGCAGCCCTGCTGGGTCCCACATCGAAACTGCACAACTGTAAGACAATAAATCTGTGTTGTTTTCATTTACTAAGTTTATGGCAAATAAAACGAAATTCTAAGAGAGTCGGGTGCTAACTGAGAACACGGCTTGGAATCTAAGGGTCCTGGCCTCAAATTCCAGCTCTGCTATTTGTTACCAGTATGATCTTGGACTACTCCTTGAGCCTTTTGGAGCCTCGGGTTCCTCATCTGTACAATGGGTGTGAGATTTATTGGATGGGTTTAATGCGTTAATATACATAAAGCATTTAATACATGATCCACCACATATGAAGTGCTCAGTAAGTAACAAAAGACATGCTAAAGAAGCAGAATGCAATTAGGGAGCCACACAGAACCAGGAGGTATCAATCTCCTTTTTGAATGAGATCGGGACTCCGAGGGCTCCAGCATGGAACCCCCACTCTGCCACTCACAGTGGGATCGGGCCAAGTCACCTGACTCTCTGACCACCCACTTGCTGCCTAATAAGCAGCTGCTGGAGTTAAATGAGAGAGACTGTCAACAGAGTTCAAAGCCAGCACCCACCCACCTCCCTCGACCCTCAGCCTCAGGCACCCTGCAGTCGCAGCCCAACCGCAGCCGGTCCGGGTTCAGAGCTCTCCTGAGCATGGGGGAGGGGGTTGAAAGCCTCAGTAATCTGAGTGCTATACAAATACCGGCTTCAGTGCCCTCCGCTCACCTCCCAGACACTCCCAAAGCACAGCTTGCTTCCAGAAAAGCAACCCACAGAGATCAGACAGGAAAGACAGAGCGTTTAATCACACGTGTGATTTCATTGCCTTTAGTCTCTGGGCACATGGGCCAGTGTGAACTTCAAGGTTGGAGCAGTTCGTTGAAGTGGGTGAAAGAGAAAACGGACTTGGGACCCTCCAGCCCACACAGCGCCCCCGGAGGGAGCATGGCTGGGTCTCCGGACACCTCACCTTCCTCTGGTGTCTCTCGAAGATGAGCATGAGAGTCAGGGTCAGGCTGGCCGCCGCCAGGGTCACGAGCAGCACGCCCACCCAGTGGTTCCCCAGGGTAAACATCTGGCTGGTGGAGTAGATGTTGGCCCACACCACCACATAGAACACCTGCGGGAAGCCGGGGCGACAGCGAGGTCAGGGACTCCGGTCCTTGAGTGCAGCAGCCCCATTCAGGGTGGCACCCTCAGACACTCTGATACCTCCTTGGACCCACAGAGCTCAGAGGCCTGAGAGAGACTGACGGGGGCCTTTTCCTTGATCATAAGTGAAGGTAGGAAAATGGGGTTAGAACAGTTACTCCAAATCCCTGCTCGCCTTCATTTTAAATAAAAACAGAAAAGGGCAGGGGGCTTAGGAGGGAGAGAAATTTGAGTCAGAAACCCACATTGATCCTTCAATAGCTATGTGGCCTGGACAAGTTATAACAACTCTCTGAGCCTCAGTTTCCTCATCTGTCAAATGGGAGTAATACCTCCTTCACAGGGTTGATATGGGGATTAGTATAAGAACATATGAAACAGCCCAGCACTTAGAAAATTAGTAAAATCCAGTTGCATCCTTCCCCTTCCTGCGAAGCAGGACGTGGGGGTTCGGAGTGCTATTTGACGCTATCCACAGAGGAGCAGCGAGCACAGTGGTTAGAGAAGTTACACCTGACTGCCTCGGTTCAAATACTGGCTCTGCCATGTACATGGATGTGTGTGTGTACGGGTATATGCAGGTGTATGTGTATGTGTATATGTATCTGTACAAATGTGTGTACACACACACATACATGATTAGAGCTAAAAGGGACTCATCTGTTGAACAAATGGGGAAACCAAGTCCCAGAGAGGAGAAAAGTCTTGACCAAAGCCAGACACTGAGTTCAGAGTCTCAGTAGTGGGTCTGCAGATCCCCCATCCCAAGCTCTGCACTCAGCGAACCCTGCTCCCCCGCCTTCCCGTGGGCACCTGGTCACAACTCCCTGCATGAATTCCCTTACACCAATCCAGGTCCGTGTGTGCCCTCTCCCGGGCAGCGGGGCCACCCCCCCAAACCCCGTAGGCACACCAACGGGCTTCCCCACAGGGTGCCGAACTCAGCGGTGCCCAGGGGCCCGGCAGGGTCAGTGGGCCGCCTCCCTCCTCACCACAGCGAAGGCCAGCCGCACAGGCCTGGAGTTGTAGATGATGTATCTCCTCACTTGGGGCTCCAAGAGGGCGCTCTCGGCCAAGTTCCTGTACTGCTCAGCCGGGACCTGCTCGGCCAACCAAGGGAAAGAGATCTATAAGCCGCAGAGAACACCTCCAGCCCTCCTTCCCACCAGCAAGCATGTCATTTCCAGTCCCCATGCCGATCATGTGGGGGGGGGGCCGGGCGCGCTCTGGGCTGGAGCTCGGAGCACCGATGGCAATCGCAGGGCGCAGCTCCGGCTCCGGAAAGGTCAGGCATCACGGGCGCGGTGCCAGCTCAGGAGCCAGGACATCCCGCAGAGGGATTCCTGCAGCCCAAGGCTCAGCACCTCAGCACCTCACAGCAGACCCCGGAGAGCCTACTGGTTAAGGCACAGACCCGGGAGTCAGCCAGCCCAGGTCCAAACCTTGGCCCAGCCACTTGTGTGCTGTGTGACCTGGAAAAAATAACTCCACTTCTCTGAGCCTCAGACTTGTCCTCTGTAAAACAAGGACCCTGTAGAGGCGGTGTGTATATTAAATAACGTAACACATATGCAATACTGATACATGTATTACACAGTCAGTATATGTATACTATGTATATACATATTGTCTGGACATCTCTGGGGCCTTTGTTTTGCCTACCATGGGGGGTTTTGTCTTCCTTGGACAGATAAGTCTCTAAGTATGTGTGTATACTGGCCCAGAACTGGTTCCGCGGGGAACACTCCATGCACAAGTGCTATTATCGATACTGTAATGTCAGTAACCACTAATACAGTCCCAAGTACTGAAAGTCACATCTTCCTGCCTGAACAAAAACACTGTAGTGCTAAAAGCCCGACGAGAGTGGACTGCTTAAGACAGAATGTAACTGTGAAAGGTGCTGTTTAGGAACACAGCAGAACAACGTGTAAACCCTTCGTTCGTGGGTGAGGAACGCCCCATCTAAAGATAACTGTTTAAGAAAAATGTTCTTCTAAACAAAAGCTGGAAGGAAACGTGGGAAGAAAACCAACTGTTGTGCTGATGTGGGCTGAGTGCTATCAATTTGGAAAGTTTCCCTTTAATGGTGACAAGATGTTGTTGTAAACAATAATGCAATTCCGTTTAAAGAGGTCAACTGTAATACCTGCAGGGTAAAATTAGCAGGGTGGCCCCCCCCCCATAACGGGTCCTCCTGGGCAGTGTGGGGAAAGGCCTCGCCCTGCTGGGGCAGATAACCACAGCTTAATGACAACGGCTGCAACTTACTAACACTGAACTACGTGCCACAGACCGTTCAAGTGCTCCCCAGGCATTAGCTCACTTAATCGTCACAAAAACCCCACGTAACCGGCATTAATATTGCCCTCACGGTGATGAAACTGTGGCTCCGAGGCGGTCACCTGCCTGAAGTCACGCAGGCAGCGAGGAGGGCCGGATCGGTGGGCCCGGGATGCCTAGGCTTGGAGTCACTGTGCCGAAGGCAGTGCACTATCAGCTGATGATGCGTGTAACCTTTTCTCTCCTGAAACGCCCTCCTCTGTCTACCCAGCAAACTCCTATTCTTCCTCAAGGTCCAGATGCAGGATCTGCTCCTCTGGGAGCTTTCCCAACCAGTGCCGACACCCCAGGTTTCTCACGTCTCCGGTGCTCTTCCATGCCTCATCCCGTCCTCTCTCTACCGCAGCATTCACATCACGGTGTGATGCACCTGACACCGGCCGTCTCCCCCCGGGCTCTGGGAGCAGTGCGCACAGCCCAGTGTTTAGTGCCCAGGAAGTGCCTGGCATAAGAGTGGGCACCCAAAATGCACATCTGTTAAGTGAAATAATGGGGGAGAGGGGACTGTTCTGATACATCTTCCTTCTCTCCCTTACCACATCAAGCATATGGTAAGTGTGTAATACACGTTTTGTGACTCACTGGATGGAAGGATCAGTGGATGGACAGACAGGCGGACAGATGGGCGGAAGGAAACCCGTAAGGACCACGTGAAATGAGCACTCACCTGAATGCCCCAGGTCTGCAGCTGCTCTTCCGCGGCTCCCAGATCGAAGGCGATGGGTGCGCAGGTGTTGTCGATGCGGAGAACTGTGAGGACCTGGCCATTGCGCAGCTCTGAAAGCAGACCAGAAGCTTCACCGGCTGAGCCCGGGGCCTAATGGCATTATCACCTCCTCTGGCCACGAGAACCTTCTCACGGCAAGGAGGGACAGGTGTCCTCAAATCCCCACAGAAGAACTGGAGTTGACAGGAAAGCCCCCACGAGGCAGAACTGAGGCCGGAGTGTGGAGCCTAGGAGGACACCATTGAGAACTTCCCCAAAATGAGAGCTGTCCACACACAGAACGGGAGGTAGTGAGCTCCCTATCACAAGGGATATTTAAACAGAGACAATTAACCACATTGAGGAGATGATGGAGCTGACGTTCATTCAAGCACTGTTCAACCAGGTAATGCTTGCATTCCCAGTGGGCTCAGAGTATAAGACAACTGACTTGTGGTAGGCACAACAATGGACCCCCAGAGATGCCCCGCCCCCGAACCTGTGCATGTTATGGATGTGGCAAAGGAGAATTACGGTTGCAGATGGACTTAATGTTGCTAATTAACTGACTGTAAATAGGGAGACTGTCCTGGATTATCTGGGTGGGCCCAATATAACTACAAGGATCCTGAAAAGTGGAAACGGAGGGATGTGTCTGGAAGAAAGGCAGAGACGGTCCACTGCTGGCTTTGAAGATGGAGGAAGGGGGCATGAGCCAGGAATGTGGCAGCCTTTAGAAGCTGGAAAAGAAAAGGAAACAGGTTCTCCCTGAGCCTCCTGAAGGAATGCAGTCAGCTGACACAGTGATGACTTCACTCAGTGAGGCCAAAGTCTTCTAAGCTACAGAACTGTGCGAGGGTAACCTGATGTTTTACAAGCCACTGTATCAATATAATTGGTTACGTAACTATAGAAAACACATACACTGACTGACGGGTAACCCCTCCCAGTGTGTAAATCCAAGTATAACTTCGGACTTCCCCAAAACTTAAGGTGCCCCTTGGTATCCGTGGGGGATTGGTTCCAGGGTGCTTCATGGATACTAAATCCACAGATGCTCAAGTCCCTTCTATGACATGACATACAGCTGGCCCTCCACATCTGCACTCCAGTGCAGGTGTTTACTGAGAAGAAGCAGCATGTCAGTGAGTCCACACAGTCCACACCCGTGCTGTTCAAGGGTCAGATGTATCTGTTTTTATCTTCCCACACCAGGTGGCTTCATAAAAACTTGGAAAGATAAAAGTATAAAGTTAGATTTAAAAATCAGCAAATGAGCCCTGGTTGAGTGGCTCAGTTGGTTGGAGTGCTGTCCCGTACACCAAAAAAGTTGCGGGTTCAATTCCCAGTTGGGGCATATACCTAGGTAGCGGGTTCAATCTCCCGGTAGGAGCATGTGCAGGAGGCAACCGATCAATGCTTCCCTCTCCCATCTATGCTTCTCTCTCTTCCCCCTCCTCTCTCTCTACTATCAATACAAACATATCCTTGAGTGAGGATTTAAAAATAAGCAAATGAGAAAAACTAGACACAAATAAAATAAGGGCAGAAATAAAATAGAGCAATAAAGTAAAATAAGAATAGCTTCTGGGATTTGAGCCTTTACTATGTTCCAGGCACAGGGCTTAGGCTTCAAGTCATGATTTTATTTAATCCTCCAAGAGTCCTAAGAGGTGGATTCCATGATCACGAAAAAGAAAGGGGCCTTTGAAAAAGGAACTAAGGACGCGAGCAATGTTACCAGGGGAAATGAAAGTGAAGAGGAGAGGAGAAGAGGTGATACCAACAGGCTGGCACTCGGGCTGGATGGGTCCAGACCAGCTCTCCATCGCTCAGCACCACACGGAAAGCCGGAGGCCCACGTGGGTTTGGACTCCACACATGGAGAACGCAGACTGCTCCCTGGCAGGCTCTTGGCACACTGAGCAAAGCGCTTGCCGCAGCAATGCAAAGACTCTCCACAGTTTCTTTGTTTGCCTTCTGAACCATGAGTTCCTGGATTCTTGGCAATAACCTCTTTTCATCCATCCATTCCTTCAGGTGAGAACAGCAAGTCCTCCACTTAGAAATACTTGTTTTAACACCTAGGTTAGGGTAAGGAGATCTGAAAAGCTATCAAAGAAGTATGTGAGAGAGAGAGAGTGCGAGAGAGAGAGAGAGAGAGAGAGAGAGAGAGTGTGTGTGTGTGTGTGTAGGGGAGAGTAATTTCTTACAAAGAAATAAGAACTAGTTTGCCAAAAATCAGTGTAGTAATGTCTTCAAAGTTCTGAAGGAAATTTACTTCATTCCATTTCATCCCACTGTTGTGTATATGTGTGTACATTGCTTTCCTAGTAACAGTAGTTAAAAAAAAAAAGAACACTTGTTTTTAAGTAGTCAAGTTTCAAAGCATCTATGTAACCAGCCACATTTCTATGGATTTCCCAATTTAGAATGCTGTCTCCCCCTGCCTATGCCCATTCATTCATTCATTCATTCATTCAACAAAACACTTACTGAGCATCTGCAATGGACCAAGCCCTGGGCAAGTATGCACCTTGGTTCATCACTAGATGAACAAGACAAGACAAAACCTGTGTCCTCGTGAAGCTTATATTCTGGTGGGGAAGCTAGACAGTCAACACTTTATTACTTTATTACACAGGTACTGCTTTAATTACAGACTGTGATAGGTACTATGGGGAGATGTAGGAATAACTCAGAGGGTCCTGCCTTAGGCTGAGTCATCAAGAGAAGGTTCCCCATTGAAAGGCTACCTGAACTGAGCTCTGAAGGTAAATGGACACTAAACAGGAAAGGAGGTATGGAAGAACCTAAGAGACAGAAAGAACAGCAGATGCCAAGGCCCTGAGGCACGACAGCATGGCAGGAACTAAGCACAGGGGCAGCAGGAGTCGTTAAGACAGGCCTTGCAAGCCAGTGAATGTTAGATCTTCATGCTAAACCCAATGGGAAACACTGAAGCAGAAAATGATACGGTTGCTTATGCATTTAAAAAGGATGTCTCTGAGGGGGCGCTCTGGGCAAGGCATGATGATGGCGGCGGCCGGCCTGGGTGAGCTAGCAGATTCCCTGCTTGTCTCGAGGAGCCCCTCGAGGCTCCTGCAGACTCTGGCTGGGGCCAGGGGCTTGAGGAAGCGCTGCGGCCGGAGCCAGAGGGAAATGCCCGGTGCAGGGGCAGCAGCCCAAGGCCAGAGCTGGGGAGAGACTCTGCAGGTCAAATGTGACAAACCCCCACCCCCACCACCTTCCTCCCGAGTGCACAAGGAGCATAGGCGACCCAGCCTCCAGCCACAGATCCCGCCCAGCACCCAGAGCAGGCCACAGACCCCACAGCGGAGCTGGGGCTGCGTGGTGGCACCCTGCAGGTCACCCTGACGACCCTCCAGAGGCAGACCTTTCAGATCCACCCCGACCCCGGGGAGAAAGTACTGAAAGAGAAGACCGAATTCGTAAAGGGGTAAGATGCCTTTCCGGTAGCAGGTCAGAAATTAATTTATGCGGGCAAAATCCTCAATGATGATACTGCTCTAAGAGAATATAAAATCGATGAGAAAAACTCCGTGGTGGTTACAGTGACAAAACCCAAGGCGGTGACACCACCAGCACCAACAACTCAGCCATCGAATCCCGCCACCACTACCGCAGTTAGTTCCTCCACAGCACCAGCTGTGGCTCAGGTCCCAACCCCCACCCCCGTTTTGGCTCCCACTCCCACACCTGCATGTGTCACTGCAGCATCAACGAGAGCAGCTTCTGACCCTGCACCTGCCAGTGCAACGGAAACAGGAGCACCCTGCGGAAAAGCCAGCAGGAACGTCAGTGGCCACTGGCCCGACATCGACTGACAGTACAGTGGACATTCTTCTCCACCAAACCTTTGCAAGATGCCACAGGTGCTCTTGTGACAGGTCCGTCCTGTGAGAACACGGTAACAGACCTCAAGCCAATGGGCTGTGAGCCAGAGAGTCACTGCAGCCCTGAGAGCCAGTTCCAACAGCCCTGGGAGCCCCCGGAGACAGAGAAAGTCAGGCTGCGGTGGATCCCCCGCCAGCAGCTGATCCTGGAGCGACGACAGCAACGACAACAAGCTCGGGAGGACAACCCCTTGAATTTTTACAGAATCAGCCTCCGTTTCCACAGAGGAGACAAATTCTTCCAGAGAATCCCTCCCTGCTTCCAGCATCACGACAACAGCCAGGTGGAGGAAATCCTCAGCAACCGCAGCAAAGGAGCCAATCCCGGGAGGCTTTTATCCAGATGTGAAATGAATCCGTTCAAGAAGCTGGTGGTCAAGGAGGACAGAGTGGACGTGGCGGTGAAGAACGGCAGAAGCTGGAAGTGGTCCTATGAACCACATTCAAGCAACGCTCCGGGGAAGCTCTAGAAGGCATACCTGTGCCTGACTCTCAAGTGCATGTCCTGCAGAAGCACCTGGTTGGTCTGTGCCCTAACTTCCTTTTCTTCAGCTCGCCCAGCTTTACTCTGGACAAGACCCAGTTAAAGGCATCAGGATTTCCGAAGTGTGATACAAGCATATTTTGCTTGTGAGAAGAACTTGACTGCCAATTTTGTTCTACAGCAAAACTTTGTGAAGACTGAAAGGGACTTTTTGGCTCGGCCAGTGTGGCTCAGTGGTTGAGCGTCGACCCATGCACCAAGAGTTACCCCGGTTCGATTCCCGGTCAGGGCACACACCCAGGTTGTGGGCCCAATCCCCAGTAGGGGGAATGCAGGAGGAAACCAACAGATGTTCTCTCTCATTGATGTTTCTCCCTCTCTCTCTCCCTCTCCCTTCCTCTCCCTCTAAAATCAATAAAGAAAAAGTATTTTTAAAAAAAGACAGGGACTTTTTGTTTTTTATCTCGCATGTCACACCAGTGCATTACACTAACTCTGTTCACTGGATCGTCTGGGATGACTTGGGCTCATATCCACAATTCCTGTATAAGGTAGTAGATTGCTGGGGTGGGAGGGAGGGACCTAAGGTATAGGGCAGGGATAAATACAGTGCATGTCTGCTTCAATTAGCAGATGCTGCAAACCCACACCGTGTGTAAATCAGATAATCAAAAATCAGCTCAGCTGTGCAATTCTTTATCTCGTGTATACAACAGTAGGTAACTTCCTAGGTTTCACTCTTTTTAGTGTACCAGATCCAGAAACGTAGTGTAATGCCCTGCTTTACATCTCTTTGACTTAACATTGGTTTCAGAAAGAAGCTTTGCTCCCTAGAATCTACAGTCTCTGTTTCATGGCAATACTGGATAATGGCTTTATGAAACTGAAAATAAGTTTGGAACAACTATAAACAAAAATTCCAAATTATTGATGGTTATGGTTGTTGCTTCATATAAGTATAAAAATGAATGTCAAGAAAGCCCATACTTTCATGTCAAATACTTGGGGGAGGGGAGAAGGGGAACCTTTTCCTTTTTTAATATGTTTTATTGATTTGAGAGAGAGGAAGGAAGAGGGAGAGAGGGAAACATCAATGTGAGAGAAACATCAATCAGTTGCCTCCCATATGCACCCAGCCAGGGACCAAACCCAAAACCTGGGCACACACCCTTGATACCAGACACACCAGATCCGTTACTACCTGTCACCACTAAGCCAATAAGCAGAAACAAAGTTGAATCTTTTTGTTGTTGTTAATCCTCACCCAAGGATATTTTCCATTGATTTTTTTTAGAGAGAAGGGGAGGGAGGGAGCAAGGGAAGCAGAGAGAGAAACATCAATGTGAGAGAGACATATTGATTAGTTGCCTCTCACACGATCCCAACTGGAGCCAGAGATTGAACCTGCAACCCCAGTATGTACCCTTTACCAGAAACGAACCCATGACCCTTGAATCCACAGGCTTATGCTCTAACCACTGAGCAAAACAGCCAGGGCATAAGGTTGAATCTTTTTTTTTTTTTTTTTTTTTTTTTTTAATCCTCACCCGAGGACATTTTTCCATTTTTTGTTCAGGTAGAGTGGGAGGGAGAGAGAGGAACATAGAGAGAGAGAGAGAAACATCGATGTGAAAGGGACACATCGAGTGGCTGCCACCAGCACAACCGACCAGGGCCGGGGACAAACTGCAACCGAGGTACATGCCCCTAGCGGGAACCAAATCCGGGTCTCTCAGGACCGCAGGCCGATGCTCTAACCGCTGAGCCAAACCGGCCAGGGCTAAGGTTGAATCTTTTATGAGTGTTTATTAATCAGAGCCAGCGATCCGAGAGAGCCTTTCCAGGTGCCATACCTGCCGCTCTCTCTGATTGCCGGCTCTCTGATTAATAAACACTCATAAAAGATTCAACCTTATTTCTGCTTAATAGCTTAGTGGCGATAGGTAGTAATGGACCCATTGCGTCTGGTATCAAATTGGTGACCCAGATAGGACCCACTTTGTGTCTGGTATCAAAACTGTTGACTCCGCTGGGACAGCGAGCGGGATTTTTCCCAAGTGAGTATTGGGAATCGAACCAGCACTGGACGGTGCTCCAACCAATTGAGCCACATCAGCCAGGGCGGCGAACTTTTTTTAAAAGTGAAAATAATTACTGCTATTTAAAAATCTCTTGATGATTGAATGTGAGACCCTTCTCACATGATTTGAGAAGCTCTACAAGTTTAAGCAGAGTTATTTTCCTGTTCACATTTTTCTGGTTTGGGAGAAAAATTGGTAGGTGTCCAATTACTGTTTACTTCCTTGTTACAGTGCAGTAAACATTTTAAACCACCCCTGCATGTTTGCTTTTGATGTGGCCCTGGGTGGCATTCGCAGCGGGCCCCTGGAGAAACGCAGCCTCACGCTCCCTCTCGTCCCTCCCTCTGCAGAAACGCGCTCGCCACCAAGTCATACGCTCAAACTGCTGCCTTTTTTAAACCCACAAAGTGCTGATTCAGTTCGAAAATAATGCAAATGTTTCAAAACTCGGTTTCTGGTGTGTGTAAATGTTTTTCCTTATTAAATAAGAACACACGCCCATTAAAGTCATTAGGGTTAGTGCTTTCAAAAGGAGAAGGCGGACAGAACTGGAATCCAGCATCTTCGATTGCACTGGAAAGACTGATGAAATCTTTTGGAAGGGCTGGGAGACGTGGCAGGAAAAGGACTTTGGAAAATACGCAGTCAGGCTATCTCATGGCACATTAAAAGAAAAATCTTAAATCAAGATCTCGTTGGATGCCTGGTAAAGGACGGACAGAGAGGCGGGATGGAGGCGGGATCAGGAATCCGAGAGGGAGAGGGTGGCTTGATCTAAGGAGGTGGGGACAGGAGCATGGCGGAAATGACAAACACTGGCCCGGAAACAAATCCCAAAATGCCCACACTTCTCCAAAAGCACTTCTGTGCACCCTCCACTCCCCTCCCTCCATACGTGAGTCCAGCCCAGGATCCTAGGGCGAGTAGCAAGGAAAGAAATTCAAGGTCATGACCTTACCTTGCCCCCAGCCAGGAGGGCTCCCCACAGGCAGGGCACTCCAGCGGGGGGAGGAGGTGGGCAAGGGGCCGGCCGCCCCGCCAGGGCCTATCCGAGGTTCACAGGCCATAGCAGAGAACCAGCGGGGTAGCTACTTCCCCTTCTCTGGGCTTTGGTGCATTCTGGAACAGCCAGCTCAGCTTCATCTGCCTTCAGAAAACAGCAAAGAAAGAACTTCAGGCCTGGACCTCAGCCGGCTGGGCTCCCCAAGCCCTCCCAGACCAAAATCCTCACAAGGCCAGGGAGTGCCCACTGGAGTCTCACCACTGACCAGTCTTTCTGGTCATGCTGAGGATCATTCTCAGAGGGACTAAAACACTCTCAGATCTCAAATGAGAATTTCCCTTCTGGCCTTGGATTGTCATCCAGGGACCCAGAGAGAACCCAGGGGCTGCTGAGGCCCTGCTCCCAGGCAGGTGGGATCTCCATTCCCTTACTAAGACAAGGACAGGTACATTCACCACGGGGAGACTTGTTTATACAGAGGACCTCACATAATTTCCCAGAGACACTGGACACAAACAACAGTGTGGGGAAGGCAGGAGGGGAGCGGTATTGAGGAGGAGGGGGCCAATGAGGGAAAAGAGGGGAGACATCTGTAGTACATTCAACAATAAAGATAAGATTTTTATTTTTAAAAAAAGAGAGAGAGACATTGTAAAATACAAATGATAAAAAAAACCAGGATGGTGGAAAAGATAATTTTTAATTTTTTTTAAGTGATAACCATGAAGAATAAAAAATACCCAGATATTCCGGCAATCAGGGTCCCTAGCAGAGGTGGTACAGGTTTGTGTTCAAGAACATGGACTCCCGAGTCAAACTAACCAGTTTAAACATCAGTTCTACAACCTACAGGTTGGGTAAACTTGGGCAAATGGTTTAACCTCAAAGAGCTTCATTCAGCTTTCCTACATTTAAATAGTGGCCCATGTGGAACAAAGGACATGTGCCATAAATACTCTTTCTGGTTGCTGCTGTTTTTAGGTTTGACACAATTGCCATGCCTGATCCAAGAATTTGGTATTGAGCTTCCAGGAGGCCGAAGAGAAAATGGAAATACTGCCAGTTCCTGCTCTCTATAAAGAGACAGAGAGAGAGAGAGAGAGAGAGAGAGAGAGAGAGAGAGAGAGAGAGAATTAGGAGAGCAATGCATCTTCTTGGCACTAAGCTCCGAAAGACCTTGAACATGTTTCCCAAGCCTCGGGAGCCAGGCCAGTGACAGTGCATCAGGCATGACCTTAGCCACTTCATCAGCAAAAGCAGAAATGGGTATTTCCTAATGCCAGCGTGGTGTCTCTAGTGCCATACACTCTGAGTGGAACCTGCACACCTTATCTGTGATGTGTCCCCCTGGGGCCTGAGACTCACCCCTCAGCAAGGAAAATCACGCCTGAGTTCCTGGGATGACATACCAGCCTGCCTGCTAAAAAAAAGTCCACCCGCCCCGTCTTTCACTGCCATGATTCTCCACCCTGGTGAAGACAGGAAGTGTTGGCCCAAGGGCTGACCGTCACTAAAAAGGAGAACCTGACTCCCACTCTCCTCACCTTCCATTTCTCTCGGTCCTTTAAAAAGGACCAGCTGCATACTCTGTGGGGCCCTGGGCAAAATGAAAATGTGGGGCCCCCTGTTCAAAATTGATGAATTTCAAGATGGTGACAGCAGAGCCTTAAGCCAAAGGAGGCCTTACTAAAGAGCACACTGCATGCATGTTGCCAGCCCTGACTCTGAGCTCCGGAAGACCACATGGGAGTCCCCACCAGCCACCGAGAATAAACAAAAATGAGCCTTTCACTAACAGGAATCACACACCTGCCGTGTATCAGGCTCTGCGGCAAGAAGGCAACAAAATGTTAGGAAAAGAGCGAGGACTTCAGTGCCAAAGATCCTGGACGTGAATCCCCACGCAGCCGCCCGTGCGCTGTGATGTTCACTGTCAACGTACTGAACTCCCTGAGCCTTGCTGTCTTTGTCTATAAAATGGGTTCAGAGAGGCCTACCTAGCATAACTGCCGTGGGATAACAGAAGGAAATACAAGCCTGATGTCCAGCACCCTGCTCACCAATCAGCCCCCTTTCCTCAGGGTTTTTTCTCATTTCACAGGAGAGAAAACTGAGAGTCAAAGACGTGAAGAGACCCGCCCAGGCTAGGGTGGCGAGCAGCTGTGGTGCCAGCAGGTGGGCCGGCCATCTGGCTCCGAGTCCAAGCCCATAACTCCCTGCCGCTGAGCCTCAGGACCCAGGGCTGGGTATCTCTGAGCCTGTTCCTTATACCACCTTTTAAAAAGAAAGCAGTGGGTTGAAGGAGGCCGCACGGTGTGATTTAGCAATAAATACCAGCCTGTACCTGAGATGCTGCACTCTAGGAGGGCAGGGACCATCACCTGTCACCTAGCCCAAGGCCTGGCCCACAGCAGGTACTCCCCAACACTGTTGAACATTTACCAGTCAGTCGTATCACCCCTTCCTTCCTTCCTTCCTCTTCTCTTGTACCCCCAAGACGCATGAAAGCAACAACCACCCAAGGATGTCTGCCCTGCACTTGGCAATCACTGAAGCCCTTTCCTTAGTCATTTGATCACCTCCTAGGCCCACCAGGAAAATACAATCCTGGGATCCATTTTCCACTGAAGGCTATTTAGTGTAATGGCTCAGTGTAACCTGCACAGTGCTAACATTTCCCACCTGTGTGACCTAGAGCAAGTCACTTAACTTCTCTCTGCCTTGTCTTTCCCTGTAAGTGGAGGTAACAACAGTAACTCAGTTGTTGTGAGGCTTAAAGAGTTCATCCAGGAAAATCACTCAAAGCAGGGCCAAGCAAACAGGAATCACTGAAGGAGAGCTGTTGTTTTTACTCCAGAGATAATTCCCCGAGAAACTTACAGTGCCAGACACCATGCTTTCTCCACTATAAAACCAGAAATGAAATCTTAAGTCCTTCTTCAGCCCTCCCTGCTGGGAATCACCATCTGATGGAAAAGACAAACTCAGAGAAAGAGAAATAAGAAACGGACTATGACCAAACCAGCAGTCAGAGGGGGTGGGCAGCGCCTTGCGGTGGTGGGAAGACCTGGCACAGAGGTGAGAGCGGACTGCCAGGAAGGGGAGAGGGGCAGGACCTCCCGGGGGTAGCCACTGCACTCAGCCTGCAGTCCCTAGTCCGGCCTAGAGGCTGCAGAGGCAGGAGGGGTGTTAGAAAGACCGGCCAAGGGCAGACATTGACCCATTACCTATCAGTAAGCTCTGAGCTCAGGACCCCACTCTGGGCTGCCCAGTGTCATGGGGAACATGGGAGATACAGCCCCTGGTGAAAAACAGAGCCAGGGTGTGAGCATAGACCTGGGACTCCTGTAACTAACTGGACATCCACTCCCCCAGATGCTCCAAGTTGCTTTAGTCGCCTTTGCTGACTCTACATTTAACCAGAATGTCTAGTTATCCATCTGTTTAGCTAGGTGGAAAGTCCCTGCAGAGGCTGATGTCCTAAGTCCATTCCCGCAAGCACTGAGTGGCCAACCTCCACCTGAACCAGACGCCTCACTGAGATTTGGGAAAGGGAGTTGGGAGAGAAAGAAAGATCCCAGTTTTCACCAGTCAGGGTCTGTTTTTGTTAAGCTGGAAAGTCCCAGTAAGAAGCCCTAAGAGGATGTGTCACAGAAGTTTTGGGGTGAAAAAGAATGAAGTCCAAGCTCTCCATTTTACAGATGAATGTATGAAGAACCAAAAATAAAAGTGAACTAGCCAAGGTCAGGAAGCCAGTGGGGGTCGGGGCCAGAACGGATCCGGGCCCATTCAGGCTGGGGATGACCCACCCAGCCTGGCCTTGGCCTTGGGCAGCTACGTCTTGCCCCAGTCAACTGCCCAAGTCCTGCCCTGGGTCTAGGGTCTCGGGGTCACCCTCACCCCAGAAATCACCCCCACAGGCCACCGGGTCCCAGGAGCCACCCGAGATCAGCTCCCACGCAAGAGCCGCGTTGGAAGGGCCCAACACGGCTGGAAGGAGCCGGCGCGCCTGCGGCGCGGACCCCGGGCCAGGAAGGGGGCGCCCCGGCGGTCGCGCAGCACCGGGCCCGCGCGGCTCCAATCTGGGCTCCGGCCGCACGAGCCCGCGCACACTCACCCGCCGCGCCGCCGCCGCAGTCGCCCAGGGCCGCGGAAGGCCGGGGACACGGCCGCCCCTCCGCGCCGCCCCTCCGCGCCGCCTCCGGCCCCGCCCCGGCCCCGGCCCCGCCCCCGGCCGGCCCCGCCCGAGGGGCCGAGGGGCGCCTTCCCCCCGCGCGGCGAAGCCCAGCCGGGAGCGGCCTTCCTTCAGCCGGGCCCTCCGGGGAGGCCGGGAAGGACCCCCCGCTCGCCGACCACGTGCAGCGACTCCGGGGCGCGCGGGGAGCGCGGCGGGGGCTGGTCCTCCAGGCAAGTGCCCGCCCTTGGCGAGGCTCCGTCTGCCCGGCGTCAGAGCATCCGCTTCCCTCCGAGGTCCAGCCCACGCTCCCCACGGTCATGGGACCCGTGGATGAGGCAACACGGCACCAGACGTTTCTCAAGGACTTGATTTTTATGGAGAAATTATGCGTGTGCTGTATTATTAAGAGCATCGGTTTGGGGGGGCAGGCTACCCTGAGCTCTAAGCCAGGTCTCTGTGCCTTGGTTTTGTGTGAAAAACATTCTGTTTCATGGGGTTGTGCCTTAATGAGATGATCTGGGTGTTGACACTTGCCAGACACGTACAAGCTGCTCACTGGACTTTGGCTACCACCCCACCACCATCGCTCAGGATTTCGGAGGGGCCTGCAGTGGAAAGTGTGCCCTCCCCTGGGAAAGCACTAACCTTGTGTATTTCTCCATACAGCATATAGGACAAGTACACACACACACACACACACACACACACACACACACTGTGTCCATACAAAAAGGAGCCTATTCTGTTCTGGGCACCCTACTTTTTCATTCAACAAAATTCTTTGGCATTCACCTCATGCCACAACACCCCACTCTGCCTTCTCATTTTTTAAAGGGGTACATAGACCTCTGGATATTGTAGGTCTCTCTTCCTTTTGCCCCTCCCCCAGTGGACCTGTAGGTGCTTCCCACTCTTGCTCACAGGCCTGGCTGGGGTGGTCATGGCCACAGTGCTGTGTGCACACCACAGCCTGCATTTCTACAGCTGAGTCAGAATGGAGAGCATCTGTTATTTCAACAGATACTGCCATGCTCCTGGGGCCTCTCAGACCACAGGACTGAGTTGACTGCATGCTTCCCAGGGGCGCAGGCAGAGCGCTTGGGGACAGCGAGAACTTAGCCACAGATACTGCCCAGGCGCCCTCATCCACCAAGCAAGTGAAACGTGACATTGGGTGCCGGCCAAGTGCCAGATTTGTAGTGGGCAGCACTGAGCAAGACTCACCAGGTCATTATTTAGTTTGCCTAATTTCTCAAAACACTATTGGGGGCGGAGAGTGGAAACAAGAAACTCATGGGATGTTGGAGCTTCACTAAGCACTCAATAAGAGAGGATATTGAAAGGGATCCTTTGACACGTGTGGCCCGATCACCATCTATCCAAACCCTGCCTCTCCAGCAAGGCCTCCTCCAAGAAGCCTGGTATCGTCCTCCCGCTCTTTCTGCCAGGCTGCCTCTACTCTGCGTTCTCACTGCTTGTCCCGCCAGTGTGGACTTACAGGACACATCCATCTCCCTTGCTAGGAAGGCACAGGAGATGGGCCTTTGGAACCAGTTGACCAGGCTCCACCACTTACTGACATGTGACCTTGCACCAGTCAGTTCACCTCTTTGAGCTACAGTTTCTTCATCTGTAAGAGAAGGAAAAGAATATCTGCAAAACTGGGAGACTGTAAGAATTAAATGATGATGCGCTTAGCAGGAAGTGCTCAGTAAAAGTGACCTGCTATTCGCAGACAGCAAGACATCATGCCGTTTGCATCTCTGAACTACGACACGTGGCAAGGCCTGGCACTATAGCATGAGGAAGTAGGGGCTCCATGTGGAAAGGAGGAAGGTTAATAAAATCCAGTAAAAAAGTGAGTAATACCTAGTCAAGTCCGCTGGAAAGCAAACTTCAGTGAAGCTATTTCCATGGATTCATAGGGCTCTATGTGGTGGGCCCAGGCTCTTCTCCACCCCCAATGTACCCCGTACTAATGTTTAACCACTGTCCCAGCCCCTAAAAGCACTAAGTTCCAAGAACACAGAACATCTCTCAGTTCCTCCCCCAACCCATGCTCTCTTTCACTTCTAGTTCTCAGTGGTTGCCATCCCTCACCATCTGAAAGATAACAAAACTCCATTCCCACCTCATCACTTGACTAACACATTCTTAGGTCTCAACTGAAAGGACCCTTCTTCTGGGAGCCCTTTCCTATCCTGAGCCCCGGCTAGTCCCCCGTTCTCATAGTCACCCTTGCTTAACATACAGCCACACCTAGCACATGTGGTCATTATTCAAGGTCCCATTTCCCCAAAAAAAGAATAAACCCATGGGGCAATAGGGTTTTTCTGCCCATGCTCATAGCTGTCCCTATAGCACCATGCCCTCAATATTTGTTACATGCATTTGAATTAGTGAATAGCTATGAATAAAATGAGGGCCTCAACTACAGATAAATGGTCACGCACCCCGTAACGACCGCATACACGAGGGTGGTCCCAAAGATTATAATGGAGCCTAGGTGTGCAGTAAGCTGTACCATCTAGGTTTGTGTCAGTGCACACACAACAGTGAAATCACCTAATGACAAATTTCTCAGAACATATCCCTGTCATTAAGCACCATGTGACCATAACTACAAACCCCAGTCAGAGCCACCCTTACTCAGCAGTTGTGCCATCTGTCCTGTTGTATTTATAAGGGTTACAGACCCGTGTTTGAGGGCCATCTGCCAACTATCTGGCAACCTGGATGAAGTAAGAAGGAATGACATGACATTCTCCCTACTTCAAGTGTGGATGAAACTTCAAGTGTGGCAGTCTATGGGACAGGGACAGTCGGAACCTCTGGATGAGTAAATGAAAAGCAAAGATCAGTCCAGCAGGTGTGGCTCAGTGGTTGATTGTTGACCCATGCACCAAGAGATCACCAGTTAGATTCCCCGTCAGGACACATACCCAGGTTGTGGGCCTGATCCCCAGTGGGGAGCATGCAGGAGATGGCCAGTCGATGTTCTCTCTCATCGATGTTTCTAGCTCTCTCTCCCTCTTACTTCCTCTCTCTCTAAAATAAATAAAGGGAAAAAAATTTAAAAAGAAAAGAAAAGCAAAGATCAAAATTTAGATCCTGTTTTTTAGAACTGGTCTGTCAGTTATAGATTCACTGACTTTCTAACTCTTTTAGAAACATATTTCTTGAAATTTGCCATGGCCTGAACAAACTGAACTAAATCCTATAGCGATTCAGACTGGGAAGTCGGACAGACATGGCTTCAAATCGGCCTTTACCACTAATTAGAGCTGTCCTAAAATTTTTTCCCAAAAGCATACCCACAGAATGTTCTATGGCTAATGGCTGCATTAAATTGATTCCAAATCCTGGAAGTCACATTACACAATGAGTACCCACGACAAGATGCACACATGAGAACTTGAAACTAAACACACAGCTGTCCTTGTTAAGAATGTGCAGGGAGTAAGCTAAGTCACTTGCTGTTTGTCAGGAAACTGGGTCAAAAGCAGAAGAAACCCTCTGGATTCCTGTCAGTGAGGCCAGCAACCCGCCTGAAATGTCAAGGATCTATTTCCTCACTATGTGCAGAAAGACAAGAGCCACAGACAGCTACAGAGAGAGTAAGATGGGCCCTGGCCAGTTTGGCTCAGCGGTTAGAGCGTCAGCCTGCGGTCCAGAGAGACCCGGGTTTGGTTCCCGCTAAGGGCACGTACCTCGGTTGCAGTTTGTCCCTGGCCCTGGTTGGTCGTGCGGGTGGCGACCACTCGATGTGTCCCTTTCACACCGATGTTTCTCTCTCTCTCTCTCTCTCTTCCTCTCTCCCTATCACTCTATCTGAACAAAAAAATGGAAAAATGTCCTCGGGTGAGGATAAAAAAAAATAATAATAATAAAAAAAAACAAAGAGAGTAAGATGGGACAGGGTTAGAAGAGGGAGCATTCACATCTGGTTGGGAAGGGCAATTAAAAGGTTTTTAATTAGAGCCCTGGCCAGTTTGGCTCAGCGGTTAGAGCGTCGGCCTGCGGTCCGGAGAGACCTGGGTTCGGTTCCCGCTAAGGGCACGTACTTCGGTTGCAGTTTGTCCCCGGCCCTGGTTGGTCGTGCGGGTGGCAGCCACTCGATGTGTCCCTTCACGTCGATGTTTCTCTCTCTCTCTCTCTCCCTTCCTCTCTCTCCCTCCCACTCTATCTGTACAAAAAATGGAAAAATATCCTCGGGTGAGGATTAAAAAAAAAAACAACAACAAAAAAAAGGTTTTTAATTAGAGAACTAGACTCTTGGGCGTTTTCACCTTTAAAACCTCCATAAGACAATAGTGGACAAACCCATCATGCTTTCAGAACAACCAGCTGACTTCTCTCCTAATCTCACCTTCAGCTGCTACCACTCTTTCCTTTGTAAGTTATTTTCTGGTAGAAGAAGGGGGAGGGGAGCATGGTTTGTTCCCTGACCCTCCAAGCCCACCAATCCCCATCTATCATCCACCCAAACACTGCGAGCTGTGGCCTTGAATTCACACTTGACGAAGGAGCTAGTTAGTATCATCTCTGATTTTTTAAAAACCAGAGAAGATAGATGTTGACATGATCTGGCAACTTCCTCTCCCCCACCACTGGCCAAATCTGCTGGTGAAGAATGCACCTCTCCTGCCCCCTAAGACCTGCTTACTTGGAAGTAGGGGAGGGGTGGGAGTGGGGAAGCAAGACTTGAATGGCCTGCCCGTGCAGCTTTTTTCGTAATTTGAGAGCCACAGAAATGATGTGAGATCCGTTGGCAAGAGAAAAACACTGAGATATGCCAGGTTGTGGTTGAAGGAGAGAAAAAGTTTAAAAAGATGAAAAACGTGGAGCATCCCAGACTCATCAGAACAGGCAGGCCTGCCCACCAAACAACTTCCTCTGACTTCTGGAACCATCACTCCATGGCTCTTCTCACAGATGTGCCAAGTGCAGGTTAGCTACACAGCGCCCCGTCCACCAACGTGCGCAGAGAAAGCACGGTCGGTTCACTCTTGCAGCCTTCAGGTGGATCTGATGGACTCAGTTCCAGCTCTGTCACGTCCTTGCTCGGAGACCTTGAACATTCTATTAGCCGCTCTGGGCCTGTTTTCCCATCCATGGAAGTGGGATCCCACTGCAGGGCTGTCAGAGGTTTACGTAGTGCCTAGCAGGCCTCCCTGCTAGAAGCATGCAGAGATTCACTGCATGGCCTCTGACAAGTTGCTTCACCTTTCAGAACCTCAAAGGGTTTTTTTTCCACCCAGAAAGTGGAAGTGGTAATCTTCAGGGAACTTGTATAAGATGTTACACACAGTGTCTGGCCTACTGTTTTATGCCTTCTTTCGAGAACTTGAACAGGTCTGAGCAATGGCACCAAATGGAATGGTCAGTTTCTGTCCTTGTAATGGGCAATACTGGGGCATCTTTCTCTCTAGACAGCAGGTTCACAAGGACATGAAGGTGCCAGAGGAACAATCAATTTAGGTTTTTGGAGATGAAAGAAATCACGTGGGTGATACATAAAAGGTGTATGATACGCTCAGTACTGAGCATACGCACAGTGGTTAAGCAGATACTAAGTCTGCCTGCCAGTCTGAATCTTGGTTCTATCATCTAACATCTGTGGGCTGATTCTTGAACCTCTCTGCCTTATGTCCTGTAACATAAAGCTGCTATGAGGATTAGTTAATATAAAGGCAAAAGTTCTTAGAAAACTAGGTGGCACAGAGAAAGCTACTGTTCACAATTGAAGCAGGTATTTTTCTCACCTCTCCCAATTCCTTAGCCTTGTAAGCAGTTACGTTGGACCACATGACCCATGCTGGTCACTAGGCTGAGAACGAACTGTGTGTCTCATTTCAGGACAGAGGCACGTAAGGGCTGGTGCATGTTTGCCAACTTTTTCTTCTGCCTCTGCAATTGTGGAAACCCGTGTGCTAAGATGGCAGAACCACAAAGTGGAAGCAGCCTGAATCGCTGAGTCACCGCACGGAGAACAGCTGCCCTGGAGTCACTCAGCTTGTGTGGAGTTTTGTAAGAAATAAATCTGTTGTACTCAGCCACTGAGATTTCAGACCATATCCTATCCTGACCAATAGCAGCTGTTATTGAACACTTGAAAACTTATATTCAAGGCTGAGAAAAGAACAAGCAAATTTTAGAAAATTAGGAAACATTTGAAACACCTGGAATGTTCCTGCAATTATGTGTGGTCCTTTATTTTTAATAACTGTTGCTGCAGAACAGTGGTTCTCAACTGGGGGTGGTTTTGGCCCCTAGGAGACATCTCACAATATCTGGGGACATTTTTGGTTGTCACAACCGAAGGGGTACTAATGGCATCTGGTAGGTGAGGGCAGGAACACTGCTGAACATCCCTATACATGTACAAAAAGAAACCCTCACTGTAGCCCAGACCATCCCTCTCCTGAGATACTCACGTTACCCATTTCTGTCCTCCAGATATACGCTGCATATACAAGTACAGGCAATTGCATATCCTTTTTTTTTTGCTCAGTGGTTATCACATGCACTGTTCTGCATGTGTATCTATTAATTCATTCCCTGTCAGAACCAACATACCTGCCTGTTTTACTGGCCAAAGAACCTAACAGATGTTTATTTCTCTTCAGGCCACAATAGAAGCCCTCCCCAAGAGTTTTTAAAATATCTTAGTCTTGGCCCTATTCCCAGAGACTGATCAACTGGCCTAGGGCCTGAGCACCCTTTTCCCTGGGTACAATCAAGGTTGACAATCACAAAACTAATCCCACCACCTGCGCCCTGGATCTCACTCCACCCAAAACACCTCCAGTCTCTCTTTGCATTCCCTTCCCCACCAGCATTTAAATATGTTCTTACCTCTCGAACCATCAACCACCACTCCTACATCTGTCCCCTTTCACTCACAGCCAAGCGCTTCTCCACTCACTCACTTTACATTCACTTTTCAAACCATTTGGTTTCCTCTTCCAGGTCACCAAGCTCTTTGCTTTTCAGATCTTATACTGTCCTCTCAACTGACCCTAAATCACATTTTTTAAATAATTCCGTTGATCCTGTGACTAGCAACATTCAACTGGTTGGCTGCAAGTCCAGCAGTTATATAAATAAATCCAACTCTATTAATCCATGAGGCAGACACTGGGTCTAAACCACTGAATACAGTGTTGCCTCCCTGTGATCCTAGTTGGGAAATCTGTGGTAGAGGTAGGCCGAGGTTTAGAGTTGCTACACTTAGTAATTCCAAGAATAAATTCCTAACAAAACAGTGCAGTTTGGGACACATTAAGATGGAGATACTTATTAGATATCCAAATCAAAACATCAAATAAGCGATTTCACAACTCTAGAGCTCAGGAAAGGTAAGTTGAAGATATAAATTTGGGTCTTTAATATAGATGGTATTTAAAGCCAGAATTGTAGATGGTCTCTCAACAAGGAAACTAGTGTGAGGTCTGAGAAGAAATCCTTAGGAAAAGGGGAGGAACCAGTAAGAGACTGAGAAGCAAGGTACCACATTGCAGCAGAAGCTAAGAGAATGGTTCAAGAAGGAACAGTCAGTCAACCCCATCAAACAGGACAGAAGATCAAGTAGGATAGGATTGGGCCTCTTAACCTGGTTTATTGCTGATCTTGACAAGCAGTTTCAGTGGCGTGGCAAGTGCTGATCAGAGGGCTTTGAAAGTAAAAAAAGGGGGGGGGAGCTCATACAGAAAACTTTTTTGAGGAATTCTACTAAAAAAGGAACAGTAACTGGAGATGGAAGTGACCTGAGATCAAACAATCCTGAGTTATATAAGATAGAAGATTTTTTAAAAAGGCCCTCTAATTCTCTTGTACCGTTTCAGAACACTCAAGGAAATTACACAATGTTCTCTTTCAACTGTTTCTACCTACCAGAAATTATTTTGCAGCCCAAGACTTTGAGCTATGGAGGGTTATGAGTATTTAACTCTTATGTGCTAGTGTGAAGTTCCTACAGGTATCACACGTTATCATTTACCCTGCCAGGAAAGGAAATATGCTTGATAACTTGCCCAAGGCGGCCCCGGTACAGAGTGCTCTAGAGAAAAGGCAAACTGCTGACTTATTGGTGTTTGCTATTTTTCAAAACAGCTGTTGGGTGAAATCACAAGTGGTTCTTTCCTTCCTGCTAAGATTCAGACCAAGAATATTTTCTAAGTACATGCAGAATGTGTGTGTGATACATATGCTAATTTAATTTCCTCAGTGAAATTCTGCAAAACATCTGGGTCAAAGTACACTCTGCATTATCAAAAAGGATAAACCAGAGATGAAAAATGCATGACAAAGAGTCTTTACTTTTAAATGATTATCAGTACACCAAGTAATAACATGTAACAAGTTCTCAAATTCTATCATCTAGTAATCTTGATTAAGAGATACTAAAAGCAGCCAAAACAATTACACTAATATTCATTGTTCTAACCCTTATCTAGAAAGGACTGTTTTAAGGCTGGCTGCTGCTTTACACAGGTTACAACAACTATTTACTACTTTTTCATAGATAAAGCCCCTGACCTTCAAGAAAGCTTTAGGGAGAAAATATATATATTTAATCCCTTTCTTTCTTAAGAAGAAAAAAAAAGTGTTTCTTACCACATCTAAGAAGAAAAAGTATTGTTTTATATATATATATATATATATATATATATATATATTTTGCTCGAGTTAAAAGGCATAGAAAAAGACAACACATACCCATTAAATTTCTAAGAAATATGAGGTAAAAAGATGAAATCTTTGGATAAGCTCTAAGTTTGTACAAAGAAACTAGATTTGCTGTTCTCCAAAAAGTAAAAGAACCTACTATATAACATACAGAAATAATTTAATGCCTTTTCACAAGACTGTAACTCAAGCTTTGCAAAAGCTTCGTATTCCACGGAAGCATCTGAAATGCCAATCCAGGGAACAGGCGCTTCTTCCTTCTTCCCCTATCCATTTATGCGGTAGTTTTCATGGATTTCTGGCCGGATGTCACAGACAAAGGCCAAGAGGTTGTCCAGGACCTCATCCCTGTTCTGCCGGAAGTAGGTCTGGAGGATGCTCATCTTCTCCTGGGTTTCCTTCTCCATTTCAGTGCTGCAGCTGCCATGAGATCCCAGAGCCTGAAGTTGGGGAGAAATGACACACAGAAAATGTCAGGATGACACTGAAAACGTCAGGATTACAACATCTGGTAAGCAACTTTCATACTTTTGAAGAAACCCAGTCTCATCAATGAATATAAACAATCAGCAGTAGGCAATGGAGTCTCCTAATTAAAGAGCATGAGGGCCCTGGCTGGTTTTGCTCAGTGGTTAGAGCGTCTGCCGGAGGACCAATGAGTCATGGGTTTGATTCTGGTCAAGGGCATGTACCTCGGTTGTGGTTTGTCCCCGACCCGGGTGGGGTCATGCGGAAGGCAACCCGTTGATGTGTCCCTTTCACATCGATATTTCTCTCTCTCTCCTTTCTTTCTCTCTCTCTCTCTCCCCCCTTCCACTCTATCTAAAGATAAATAAAAAAATATCCTCAGGTGAGGATTAAAAAAATAAATAAATAAATAAATAAAGAGCATGTGGGAAGTTGGCATTCCCGGAGTTAATGGGCGCAAAAATTATGCAATCACTTGGTGGCCAACCCTAAAACATCTATCAAAACGTAAACTACATAGCCCAGCCAGTGTGGCTCAGTGGATTGAGTGTCGTCCCATGGACTGCAAGGTTTCCTGTCAGGACACATGCCCGGGGTTGTGGGCTCGATCCCCAGTAGGGGGCTTGCAGGAGGTAGCCAATCCATGTTTCTCACATCAATGTTTCTATCTCTCTCACCATTTCTCTCTCTAAAAAATCATTAAAAATAAACAAAAAAAAAAACACCCAGCCTGGCCAGTTTGGCTCAGTGGATAGAGCGTCGGCCCTCAAACCAAAAAGTCTCAGGTTCGATTCCTGTCAAGGGCACGTACCTCAGTTGTAACTCAGGCACTGGTCAGGGCTGTGCAGGAGGCAACCAGTCAATGTATCTCTAACAAATCGATGTTTCTCTCTCTCCCCTCCCCTCCCACTCTACCTGAAGATAAATGGAAAAATATCTTCAGCTGAGGATTTTTTTTTTTTTAAGTAAACTGCATAGCATTTCTGCTGCTAGAAAATTATCCCAGAGATTGATATATCCACACCTCTCTAAAGTCTAACGTATAGCCTTAACCAAAGACTGGAATGAACCTAAAGGCTAGCCCATGAACTAAAGACTGATTAAACAAATGATGGTGCATCTACACCAAAGAACAGTCTTCAGCCATGAAGAGAGAGAAGGTAAAAGTGTATAGCAAGAAGAAATGAACTGTAAAATACGCAGTTTAAGGAGAAAAAAAGCAAGATACAGAACAGTATCAGTGTGGCTAATATATAAGTTTCCTTGTGTGATTTTAAATGGAGGACATATGATGTTTTAAAAAATCTCTTGGCGCTGGCCAGGTAGCTCAGCCGGTTAGAGCATCGTCCCGATATACCAACGTTGCAGATTCGATCCCTGGGCAGGGCATATACAAGAATCAACCAATGTGTATAAATAAGAGGAAAAACAAATCAGTGTTTCTCTTTCCCTTCTTCTCTCCCTCTAAAATCAATCAATCAATAATAAATACAAAGGCATAAGGGGGACACAATTTAGAAGGATTATAGAGTTTCACCACTACTGGTTAGTTTTAGTTCTTAAGTTCAGTAGTAGATTCACCAGTATTATGAATACATAACATCAGTTCTTTCAAATGTAAATATTCTAGAATACACAAGATACCATTAACAGTGACTATCTCTCAGGAGGACTAGAGGTCTGGGTGGGAGAGAAACTAACTTCTCATTGTTGCCTCATTTTAATTGCTTAAATATTTTACTGTATACATGTCCTACCACTTCAATCTTCATTATTCACAATTTAACAAACACTAATTGCTAAAGTTTCTCTTACCTTCTACTGCCTTCACAGTACGGCTGGCTTTTGGTTATCTGCTATACCTACATTATTAGAACATGATTCACCAGGTTCTTAAAGATGTAAATTTTTTTGTGTCTGGCTCTTAATATCTAACCTATTCTTGCCTCACTACATATGTGAACAACTATATCCCCTTCTATTTGCGTAACACAGGAGAGTTTACAAAGCATTCTTTCACGTTACCTATCCCTCCATAACCTACGAAGAGGCTATCACTCCCCTTTCCACAGATGAGGAAACCAAGGCTCAAAAGGTCAGGGTGAAACACTAAGGTTCAAACCTAGGGCCCTTTACCCTATACAATAACCGTTTATATTATAGGACTATCTTGAAGCATTTCACAATGGTTGCTAAGCAATATTTTTTAAAAGTCCATTACCCCTACCGAGGTGGTGGGGACCACTACCTCTATCCTGTGAACCTAAACTATATGCCAAGCCCCAGCACTCAAAACTGAAGGTCAATGGAACACTGCTAAGAACTGCTTCTAACACAACACCAGTACTGCCTCTACGAGCAACTGCAGCAGAGATGGAAATACGGTGAGATGGCTGCCCTGACCAGAGCACTTCTACACTGTCCTGGGGCAGTCGGACAATTCACAGCACCAATCTGCCCCAGTTTAAGAGTCAGAGAAACATTTTAAGTTTTAATAACAGTCATCACCCAATGCAAAGATGAATGAAACTTTTGCTACTTACTGCTAAGAGGGAGGCATGTGCCACTGGAACTAGCAGAGGCCACAGTGTAGAACTTGAGAATGAAGCCCAAAAGCCAAAGGCAGAGTTGGGAGATGGAAACAGAGTCCTCAGATCATTATTTAAGCTTCTGGATCAAAACCAAGTTAGCCTACCACCTGGGTTTTTAATTAGTCGTCCCTCGCCACTTCGCGCTTCAACTTTCGCGGCTTTGCTCTCGCGGCTTTTTCAGATATATAGTCTAGTATTTGAAAAAGCTGCGATAGAGTGATGCCGCGAAAGTCGAAGTGCGAAGTGGCGAGGGACGACTGTCTATAAATAAAGAATTCTACTTCAAGGAAATTCATTTATCGTGGTAGAGTCTGGAACTGATTAACCGCGATAAACAAGGGCCAACTGTAATTCTATTTTGTTTAAACCAGTTTGACTTGTTTTCTTTTACCTATATCCAAGAGTCCTGATTTGTTTCTTTTCTCTGTGAAGCCATCCTCCATCCTTTCCTCTTTCCAGAATGTTCCTTGCTTCCTTTGTACTCTCTGTGCTGTGTTTTTGTATATCATGGCCATCTAGCCTATGTTACTGGTACGTGTCTTTACACTAAAGTGGAGCTCCGTGTGATTTGTGTGTCTCTGCCACATTTTCACAGCTGCAGGTGCGCATGACCTACATTTCGTTATTGAGTCTCCTTGACCACTAGCCTGCAAGCTAAGCTCCACGAGGGCAAGGACCATGTTTATTTCTGTTCACAGCTCACCCGCTACGATCTGGCACAGGACCTGGCACGTGTTAACTGTTCAATATATGTGTTAAATGACGGAATAAGTGAAGACTAGGACTCAATGTTAGTTAAAAACTGATCACCCGAAGAGATTCAGCCTAAGCATCCAATAAAACATACAATAACCAAAATTTTAAATTCAACCGGAATGAAAATTACCAAGCTATGCCGGATATTTTGAGAGCCTGGGGGGAAGGGAAGGAGAGGGAAGCCTCGAGACACTAAAGCAGTAATGAAAATAAACGGGGCCCACCGCAGCTTCTTTGGCCTTGAACTCCTTCTCCCTCTGCAGGCGGTACTGCTCAATTTCAGCCTGAGCCTCCTCTTTGGCCTGCTTCAGCCTCCGGTTCTTTCCTGTTTTCAAAAGGAAGAGCTACATCAGGAAGTGGTTAAAAGAAGAGGAAGCAGAGACTGAGATAGTAAATTCTAACATAAACAAAGAAAAAGGTCTTAAGATACAGTCCCAAGAGACACACAAGGGAGAGAGGGAATCCAGAACTTTCTGCCTCCTACAGGCTTTATTTAATTAGAAAGTGACTAGATAAAAAGAACTGACTTCCATAATTACAGACTGTAAAAATGATGGGGAAAAATTCTGGAATGTGTAAGAATATTCTCCCAGTCTCAACTACTAAGAATCAACATCAAATGGACGACATTAGCCATCTAAGGAGCTCTTCCTCTTCCCAAGAAGTAAACACCTAATTATGCTGCTGATTACAACTGGAGCTCTGCTCAGAAGCTTAGGAAAGAAGACTAATATGTTCCCAAGGGACATCTACCTAAAATCTAACTCATGAAACAGATGATGTCATATTGGAAACTAAAAGCTATGCTTGTGCAGCACAAGGATCTAAGCAATGAAAGTGGTACTGGGAAGGAATCCTGAATGAAGATCACTGGACAATAAGACTGCACAGCATCTAAGAGGCGAGGAGACACAGGTGGTCTGGTTTCCAGAAGAGACTAGTTTAAGACATAGCTGGAAAACTATCAGAGCCTGTATAAAAATAGACCCCAAGGCCCTGGCCGGTTTGGCTCAGCGGTTAGAGCATCAGCCTGCGGTCCACAGAGACCCGGGTTCGGTTCCCGCTAAGGGCATGTACCTTGGCTGCAGTTTGTCCCCGGCCCTGGTTGGGTCGTGTGGGTGGCGGCCACTCGATGTGTCCTTTCACATCGATGTTTCTCTCTCTTCCTCTCTCTCCTTCCCGCTCTATCTGAGTAAAAATTGGAAAAATGTCCTCGGGTGAGGATAAAAAAAAAAAAATAGACCAAGATCAACCAACAAATACTTTAATTCTCTGCTCACTAATCAAACTTTTCAAATACCCAAAAAGAAATAAAAGGCCCCAGGCTATCAATCTGAGATTTATTTAATTCAGAGCAAAAACATCCTGCATCTAAAACTAAGCTTTATTATACACATCACTCTCTATCAATTGCCCAAATCCCACTCAACTCATGTGAATTACATTTACCTTGTACCTCCTAAGAAAGAATCTTAGACCCTAATGACCCCACAACATCAGCATTCCATGGGGCAAGTCTGAAATAATCAAGATATCTCGCTCTAAGAACCCAAAGACCATTTCTGCGTGTATATATTTTCTTCAGTATGATTTAGGGCCTTCTGCTGTCCTCCACTCAAACCAACCTGTACCCCAGTGCTCTACATGCTGCTCTCCTCATCAGCTATATTCAAAGCCATAGATCTTTTCCAAACCAACAATCTACAAATAACATTTATGGCCCAAACATTATGCAGTAGCTCCACATAATTTCGCAATACCCCTCTCCTGACCACTCCCAACTCCCACAGCTCCCTGAATTAATCACTTAAGATAATAATATATTCTCTGCCTGTCAGCAAATGTCCTCAACATTCAGTTTTCATAGGCTTCTCTAAAAACTAAAAATAAACCGGACATTTGAATAGAAAATCATTTCTTTTAGTGGGCCTTACATATGGAAGCCAGCATATGTTTCACTCCAATGAAACAAACCATAACACAATTTTTAAAATATATACACATTATGGTTCAAAGCAACGATTTCATGAAAAATTTGAGTTGAACTATTTTACATCACATATTGCCTCTTCCCAATTCCTAACTGGGCAAGTCAATTATAATTACAGATCAAGAAAGGCAGTAATTTTTTTCAAATTGTAGTTCTTCTCAATACTTCTGTTCCTAGTTACTGCACATTCTGAGATGTATTTTAGCCATAAACTCCTTTAAAACAAATTCATTCATTAAAGATGTAGCTATGGAGATATGCAAGCACCTGCACCAGCCTTGATGGGATAAAGAAAGGTGTGAAACATGACCTGTTTCTCCAAGGCACTCAGAATTATTTTTACCACATTCAAATATTTGTTCCTGCACTTCCCCCAAACATTCTCACATGCTTCCCAAGATACAACCTGTCACTGATGAGCCATCACAGGACTAACTGTGGAAAGTCATCCTGGAAATACTGTGTCAAGGACATAATCAGAAATATTCTGTGAAGAACACAATTTTCCAGTCACCAGAGCAAGACTGAAAGGTCTGTTCCCACCCCCAGCTCCCTGAAAGAAAACTTTTCCTATGAAGAGTATCACACAACCCCTAATTGAAAGTACAAGAGCCATGTACTTGGGTGTAAGAGTCTAGGTCTTATACGGGAGAAACACCAAGTTACTACTAAAATGAATACTTCTTGAGGCCTCTACACCTCAGCTATGCTGGTTCCCGGGATACAGCCAAATCATTTCTCCCTGAGCCTCCTTTTTCCCATCTGTAAAACTGGGATAGAAATATCTATCTCACCAGGAGGGAAACTGAACACATAAATAAGACACAGTCCCTGATCTCCAGTTGTTTAGTCGAGTGACTAAACCATATGAACACACAGTGGATTGCACTGGGATGACAGATATAAGCACCTGGGAAGGACTCCTAGTCTAGTCTGGGGGGAGAAGGTCAAGCCAGAAAAGGCTTCTTAGAAGAACTGCGGTCTCAATGTTGAGATCTGAAGGAAGATTAAGGATTAGAGAACAAACTGGGGAAAACCTCCCGCAATCAGAGCAAACAGCTGTGCAAAGGCTTGTAGGGAAACCAAGGAAGGTGCCTTTGAGGGATCACAGTGACTCAATAGTCTGGAGAAGAGGACCTGTGATATTAGGGAAGAAAGCAAGAGACTGATCCAAAAGCGCCTCCAACACCCTAATGAGGACTTTGCGCTTTACCCTGCAGGTAATGAACGTCTGTTGGCAGTAAAGGTGGAGGGCAAGTCATGTTTACATTTTAGACGGACGACTGACTGCTGTGAGAACGGACTGCGGGAGAGGAATCTTCTTCCACGCACCAGTCTGGATTAGGGCTGCCTGTACCGAGTCTTCACAACTCCGCACTGCTCCTCGCCAGCCCTCACCTGCGATGAACCCGGCCGCGCTCTGCTTCCTTCACTGGGATTCTAAACACCACGATGGCGGAGGCCACAGACGCTGCGGGCACGGTGCTTGGCACCTATTAGCCTCATTTTAAAAACATTTAAGGACTCCGCGCATTAGCCTGCTACGGGAGCCTCCGAGAAACCTGACGACTTGGACCAAGAAGCTGGCGGTGTGGACGGGGTGAAAATGAACATACACATAACCCCTGACGACTGACAAAAGGTGGCGAACGAGGGAGGTGTGGCGAAGACGACTCGGTTTCCAGACTGAGCGGCTGTGCAGACGGTGGCTCCCTTCACTGAGACAGAGCACCCCAAAGAAGCAGTGTGGGGGGGTGAATTCCGGTTGGAGAGCCCGCTTTACACGCCGCGCAGGCACCCAGAAAGACGCCCACCCACCGTCTCCACGCCCGCTCTACCGGCCCACACCGCCACTTCCAGCCCGCCGACAAGCCTCGCAGCCTCGGATCCAGAGCGTGGAAACACCAGGCTCCGCGGCTGTCCCACCCTCCACCCCGCGGTGCATCGGGCCTCGTCCACCTGCCCCTCCCGCGGCCGGGCCGCGTCCCCGGGCCGCGCGCCACGCCTGGCCGCCCCACCCCGCGACTCACGCTTGCGGGCCTCGGACACCTTCTCGGCGGCCCGCTTCTCGGCCTGCAGCAGCTGCTGGATGCCCTGCGACTGACTGGCCATGGCGGCGGCGACCCAAAGCCGAGGCCAGCGGCCTAAATCCGCCCGTCGCCACACAGGTCAGCTGACCCAACCGCCAAGTTCTGCGCCTGCGCCCCCGCGCGTCCTCACGTGACCGCCCCCGAGCCGGGTCAGCTGACCGCCCTTAGTGTCCCGAGACGGGGAGGAAAGGGGTGGGGCCGAGGGGCGGAGAGTGTCGACTGCGCCGGCGCAGGGCTTGTCCTCACTTCTTCCGGTCCCGCCGCCCCGGCCTCTTTCAGTCGCGTCTCGCCCTTGGCAGGTTCTGTCAGTGTCGCCGCCCTGTCACGTAATGATTGCCCCGGTCCCTCACTTTACAATATGCCTACAGTAAGGTCCCGCGAGGAGGGGCCACGCCGAGTCACTACCCTCCTCGGCGCACTGCTGTCTTCTCCCCCTTTCTGGAGCTTTCCTGGGGACTTACCTGTGTTAGAGGGGCGATGGGACAGTTGCCGCCGGGCTCGGGAGGGGTCTGGATTGGGAAAAGGGAGGGAGACGGGCTAGGTGTGCCCCCTTCGGCTGTGTGACGGGGGAGGACGTTTTCCTTCCAAGCCTAGGGCAGGAAAGGTTTCCGTGGCGTTGCGTGAGTTCCTGCTGTGGTCCCGAGCGCTGCTGGTCGGGAAGGCAGGGTGGGGCACACGGTGTGTGGACAGACAGGGACGAAGATTGCAAACCGATAAGTAAGAAGGAGAAACGCTGGGTGCTGGAAGAAGGAGTCGGGCTGGGGGTGGCTGTGTCTGGAGGCCCTCCCAAGGAAGGGAAGTCAAGAAGGAGGCGTTAGCCAGGACCCAGGGTGACTGAGTCTAGGGCCCCGCGTGCACAGATTGGGGGAGGGGGCGACTTGGCACAGAACCATCCTCTACCAGCACAGAGACAGGGGAAGCCAGGGGATTGTTTACAATATGACAGGCACTGTCCTTAACGCTCAGCCTACTCCTGGCAGCAACTTTGAAGTAGTATTGTTCACCTTAGTGGGGAGTGACCAAACAAGCGCAGAGAGGTGAAGTAACCTGCCCAAAGTCACACCCCTGTGGACTGCCAGGGCTGCAGAGGCGAACATCTGACCCAGGTGCTCTTCTACTAGACTATTGTAGGCTGTGGAAAGAACCAGAGATCTCTCAGGGTCTTTCACCCGGAGGATGTAAGATAATGCCAGAGCTTTCCTTCATAGAAATTATCCCTGCACTCAAAGAGGAGCTGGAGTCATGACTCAGGACATTTTCAGTGGATTGAGGTTAGGGATGGGGGTGGAAAGGAGGCTAAAATCCAGAACCCGTATTGTTACCAGACTAAGAGGTCCATTTTCCTGTGCAAAAGCATCAAAGCCCAGTAAGACACGAACGAGCTTGCAGCAAAAAAAGTGAGGGTTTAGTTTTAGGAAGTGGTCCAGGCTAGGACTCAGGTGAGCAAATGCTCAAAGACCCGGCTCTTGGATGGCTTCCAGGGGATGGATTAGGAGGGGGGAAATCATTAATCATGGTGACTAAGAGAGGTAGGGTCATGGTTAGAGTTGTAGTCTCTACTGTTCGTGGGCACCAGGGTAGAGGGTAGTTGATCAGTGCATCAGGTCCTGATGTCAGCCAAGACGTTGCTTCATTGCTCCACTGCTTTCCTGGTTCTGGAGCTGAAACACAATGAGGCCTAGATGTTATCTCTCAACAGATCTGAGGCCTTGTTCCTAAGATTATTTGATGAAAAGGTCATATTAAAGAAATGAAGTTTTTATTCAGTTACACCATTCTTTCCTGATATAAGAACCAGCACTTCGCCCTGGCCAGTTTGGCTCAGCGGTTAGAGTGTCAGCCTGCGGTCCAGAGAAACCTGGGTTCGGTTCCCGCTAAGGGCGCGTGTACCTCAGTTGCAGTTTGTCCCTGGCCCTGGATGGGTCCTGCAGATAGCAACCACTCGATGTGTCCCTTTCACGTCGATGTTTCTCTCTCTCTCTCCCCCTCCCACTTTATCTGAACAAAAAATGTCCTCCGGTGAGGAGTTAAAAAAAAAAGAGAGAGAGAGATAATGGTATATGATTCCACTTACATGTGAAATATAAAGAACAAAAAAACAAAAATTGAAACAGACTCATAGATACAGAGAACAGACTGGTGATTGTCAGAGGGGTGGGGGCTTGGACAGAGTGAAAGAGGTGAAAAGATAAAGAAATACAGATTGTCAGCTACAAAATAGTCACGGGAATGTGAAGTACAGCATAATATTGTGATAAGTAAGTATGGTGTCAGGTGGGTATTGGAAATATTGGGGGGAACACTTTGTAAGGTATATTGTCTGGCCATTATACTATACACCTGGAACCAATACAAAATAATGTTGAAAGTAAACTGTAATTGAAAAATAAAAATAGCCCTGGTTGGTTTGGCTCAGTGGTTAGAGAGTCAACCTGTGGACCGAAGGGTCGAGGGTTTGATTCCTAGTCAAGGGTATGTACCTGGGTTTCAGGTTTGATCCCTAGCCCCAGTCAGGGTCGTGTGGGAGGCAACCAATCCATGTGTCTCTCTCTAGCATCAATGTTTCTCTCCCTCCCTCCCTTCACTCTATCTAAAACATTAATGGAAAAATATTCTTGGGTGAGGATTAACCAAAGAAAAAATAGCCCTGGCCAGAGTGGCTCAGTGGATTGAGTGTTGCCCATGGACTGAGAGGTCCAGGTTCAATTCTGGGTCAGGGCACATGCCTGGTTTTTGGGCTTGATCCCCAGTAGGGAGTGTGCAGGAGGCAGTCGGTAGATGTATCTCTCTTATGTCAATGTTTCTGTCTCTCTCTCCTATCCTCTCTCTAAAAAATCTATAAAAACATATCTTTTAAAAAGGAATGAGGTAGTGATACATGCTGCAATGTGGAGGGACCTTGATAACATTATGCTAAGTGAAGAAAACCAGACACAAAGAAAGAGACCACATATTATACAGTTCCATTTATATGAACTGTCTAGAATAGGCAAATCTTTAGAGATACAAAGTAGATTATTGACTAACCAGGAGCTGCAGGGAGTGGAAATGAGGAGTGACTGCTACCTGGTATGGGGTTTCTTTTGGGGATCAGGAAAATGTCCTGGAATTAGATCGTGGTGATGGTTGCACAACCTTATAAATATACTTAAAACACCAAATTGTATACTTTGAAAGGGTGAATGGTACAGTATGTCAATATAAGAAATGTCCAAACCTGTAAGAATTTTTATGACTTTATTTGAGCCAAACTGACGACAATTGCCAGGAAGCAAAATTTCAACGCTCCAGAAAATGGCACTTTTACCACTTATTTTATACATCAGAATCAAAAGGGAAGACATAAAGGGGTTACATGAAACTTATTGGCAATAGATTAGGGAGGGAGGGTGGGAATCTCTGGGATTGGACAAAGGAAATGACCGTGACATTCCAAAGGTATGGTGTCAAGTGGGTATTGAAAGTATTGGGGGGAGCACTTTGTAAGTATATGATTGTCTAGCCACTATACTATACACCTGTCGTAGATGCAAAAAGACAATAAACAGGCTCAGTTAAGGTAAAGATTGACCTTTGTCAGGGAGTATTGGCATAGGACATGAGTACCCGCCATGACTTGCTTTCAGTTAGGAAGTTTTCCACTTAGACCATCCTATGTAGTTAGTTTAGGTCTCTGAGTTTGTAAGCCAGCCTAACCCTGAGCTTGTCAGGTTTAGTACCTGGCCCCTTTTTCATCCACAAGTATGTGAATTATGTCAGAGTAAAGCTGTTACAAAAAAGAGAGAGAGCCCACCGGTGTGGCTCAGTGGTTGAGCATCAACCCATGCACCAAGAGGTCACTGGTTCAATTCCTGGTCAGGGAACGTGCCCAGATTGTGGGCCAGATCCCCAGTAGGGGGCATGCAGGAGGCGGCCAGTCCTTTCTCATTGATGTTTCTCTCTCTCTCTCTCTCCTTCCATCCTCTCTCTCTCAAATCAATAAAGAAAAAAAAAAATTTCTTTAAAGAATAAAGAGAGGGAGTGGGTGTGAAGCCTTTGCACAGTTTCTAGTCTGTGGTAAGTACCAGGAAATGGCAGCTGTTGTTTTTGCCTGGCTCGGTGGTAATTGTTTGATTTACAAATCTGGTCCTCGGCTTAACAAAAGCTTTCACATCAGGTTCCTCTAACAGCCAGCTTCCTCAAAGCACCTAAATATCTTCAAATTCCAGATTTTTTTTTCCTCACAGCATTTCAAAGGTTTATTGTGTAGAGAGAGAAACATTAAACAATTTGTTCTCGGAAATTTCCAGACCCATTTGGATTTTCTGATGATCAGAGTGGGTGTTTGTTGTCAGAACTAGGGTTTACTGGGGAGATGTCCCACAGTTAAGAGGGAAGCAACTGCCCTCCAAGGGAAGGCTTGAAGTCTTGAGCCAGCCGGCCAGAGCAAAGATTTGCAGTCATCTGAAGGGTACAGAGTGGATCCCGGGCCTTGTTCCCGATCTAGGAAAGGATTGGCAAGGCTACGAAAAGAATGTGCCCATTCTGCGGTGTGCCTCAGAAACAGGCGGGCACTCAAGGAGGGGCAGTAGCTGTCTCCAAGGCTTCAGGGCGACAGTGACTAAGGGAAGTGGGGTCTCTCATTGCCTTGGCCAAGGAAACTAGACAGTCTGTCATTTACTTGCTGGGTGACCTTGAGCGAATAACTTAACTTCTGTGAACCTCAGGCTCCTCGTGTTAAAAATGGAGTTAGTATAATAGGGTTATTGTGAGGATTAAATGCGTTAATACATATACAGTCCCCACTTAGTGTCTTTGGGGGGTTGGTTCCAGGACCTTCCTTCCCCTACATCAGGGGTGAGAACTTTTTTTCTGCCAAGGGTCATTTGGATATTTATAACATCATTTGCAGGCCATACCAAATTATCAGCTTAAAAATTAGCCTGCTATATTTACTCAAACATTTTAGTTAACTCAACTTAATGTGATGGCTGGAACTGCTTCTCTTTGGTGAGGCTGTGATGTCAGCTGGTATTGATGATATTGCTACCCGCAACTGCTTTTCCAGGTTTGTGTTGGTCAGTCTGGAGCGCAGTCAATTCTTTGCAATGGTAAGTT